TCCCTCCCTCCCTCCCTCCCTCCCTCCCTCCCTCCCTCCCTCCCTCCCTCCCTCCCTCCCTCCCTCCCTCCCTCCCTCCCTCCCTCCCTCCCTCCCTCCCTCCCTCCCTCCTTCATCTTCTCCTCTCGTTCCCTTCAGGTTTGCACGTCTTGCTGCCTTAGACTTGGAAACGACGATCTACGTCTGGCTCAGAAATCTTTGCTGGGTAAGATGAATAGATGATCCTAATTCTTCTCCTACTTCTCCTGCTGCTCTTACATCTTGTGCGTCAGATTGCACCGCACCGCTCTACTTCTCACGAGAAAGTCGTGTGAAGGTTTGTCATCCTCCTCCTCCTCCTCCTCCTCCTCCTCCTCCTCCTCCTCCTCCTCTCTTCCACTCCTCCTCCTCTCTTCCACTCCTCCTCCTCAAGGGTAGTGGCAGAGCAAGGTTTCGGGTGAGAGGCAAGAGGCTCCGAGAAGCTCGACAGTCCTGGGGATTCGGAACGAGGATAGCATGGCTACCATATCGTCCTTGTCGATGGAGGTGGAGGTGAGATAGGAGGAGGAGGAGGAGGAGGAGGAGGAGGAGGAGCTGGAGGAGGAGGAGGAGGAGGAAGAGGAGGAGGAGCTGGAGGAGGAGGAGGAAAGGGGGTGAATTATTGGAGCAGGACAGGCTTATCACTCGATTTCATAAGAGAGAAGAGAGTGAGGAAAGAAATGTGGACAAGGCTGAAAAGAAGGTGCGCAATTGCAACACAACTGCAATCATCATGATCATGATCATCGTCATCATCACCACCATCTCCATCACCATCATGTAACAGTCATCATCACCATCACCATCACCATCACCATCATGATCATCATCATCATCATCATCATCACCATCACCACCACCATCATAATCATCATCATCACCACCACCACCACCACCACCATCGTCGTCGTCGTCATCGTCGTCGTCACAATCAATCGTCTTCATGACACTCTTTCATGCAGGATAAGACTTCCAACTTCATACACTCACGTCGGGGATCAAGTTTCCGATCGTCAGCACTGAAAGAGAGGCTCGCAAAGTTTGACATCAGTCGGTACAAGGAGAAGGTTTTCCCTCCTCCTCCTCTTCCTCCTCCTCTTCCTCCTCCTCTTCCTCCTCCTCTTCCTCCCTCCCCTCCTTTCCTCCTCCTCCCTCACCCCCTTCAAGGTAGGAGAGACTCTAGCAAACGCGATGGATCTTGAGCAAGACATCAACGAGATGAACTCGAACCTGATGGCTGAGGTGAAGCTCGAATGTTTTCCCACTTGTCTTATCACTCCTTGGTTGACTTCACTTCATGTCTTTCTTGTATTTGTTCTCCCTTCTTTCCTCTTGCTCTTATGTTCTTAATTCTTGTCTTGTTCTCACTCCACCTGTGTCGCTCTTTTCCTGCTCCTTCTCTTTCTTCTTCTCCTCATGATCTGTCACCTCAACAGGAGCATGCGCTGCAGACAGACAAAGCTTGCCTTCAAAGAATCTCAGCAAAGTCGAAACTCCAACAAAAAAATGCTTCGCTTCCCACCAAGACGAGAGATCAGCTGGAGGTGCGATGACGAGGATGAGACAGATGAAGAGGAGCAGGAGCAGAGCAGAGGAGGCAACAACAAGAGGAAGGAGAAGGGGAAAGAAAGGGAGGACACAGGGGTAGGAAGAGGAAGAGGAAGAGGAAGAGGAAAGAGGAAGGGTGGGAAGAAGATCGTGCTGTTGTGCTGACGTCTTGATAGCCGAGGCTACTTTCTCTCCTGTCTCCGAGATCTCAGCAGCTGATGAAGAAGGTGAAATCTAGTCAGACTCCTCCAACCCCTCCACCTCCTCAACTCAAACCATGCCCCCTCCCCACCCCCTTCCTCTCTTCCTCCTTCCTCCCACACCCCCCCGCCTCCCCCTTCTCTTCCTCACAAGCACCACCGCTGTCTTCCTCTCCTTCCTCTTCACGCTCCTCATCCTCCTCGCAGGTACGAGAGACGGAGAACAAGAGCATGCATGAGGAGCTCGTGGCTCTTACCATCTCCTCGCCCTCCCTCGACATCACTGCAGCATCCGATGACGACGAGAGAGCAGAGCGCGCAGAGCAGGAGAAGGAGCAGGAGCAGGAGAAGGAGAAGGAGAAGGAGCAGGAGCAGGAGCAGGAGCAGGAGCAGCGAGGCAATACGAGGGGAATGGAGGAAGAGGATTGGGCGGGAAGGGCAGGAGAAAGGAAAAGGAGGAGGAGAAAGCAGATCAGAGGAGCGGGGCCTTCTCTCCTGCAACGAGGAGGGAGGAGGGGAAGATAGAGCACGAGACTCGGTGTCTCTCTCCCACAGTGCAGAGGAACTCCAAGACACGCTCCTCAGGGCAGCAGCAAGGATCGCCTTCACTCCCGTCTGAGCAGCGGAGGATGAAGATGAAGTAAGGTGACGCCTGTCCTGTCCTGTCCTCACCTCGTTTGCCAGTTCCTCCTCCTCCTCCTCTCCAAACTACAAGCAGGTCCTTCAGAGCCCTCAGATTCTGCGACAGTAAGATCTTGCTCCTCCCTCCCTCCTTCCCTCCCTCCCTCCTTCCCTTCCAAACTTCCTGCTACTCCATCTGGTTTTTCTCCTTCTCCTTCGGTGTCATCTCCGTGTCCCCTCCCCTCCCCTCTCTTTCTCATATCTTTCCAGCATTCAGCGCGTCTCCAACATGCGGCCGACGATCCGCATGAGGTCGAGGATGGGCAACCATTCGCGCTCGCTGGAGGAGACGCCGATAACCCCAACAGTAAGAACAGCAGAGCTTGTGCACGACCTCAAGTTTGCGGCAGGACATGTATCTGCAGTCGCGCATGGAGCGAAGGTGAGCGGCGGGCGGAGGAGGACGGAGGAAGAGAATAACGGAGGAGGAGGAGGAGGAGGAGGAGGAGGAGGAGGAGGAGGAGAATAACGGAGGGGTTGCAGGCAGCTGCAGGCCAGCTCGGGAAGGAACTATATGCAGGCGAGTCCGCCCATGACCTGCCTCAGCAGGTGGCTTACAAGGCCGCAGACTTCGAGCTCGCTGCTGGAGGAGAGCAGGAAGCCGGCTGAGTACAGCGAGGACACGTTCGAGGCGGATGAGGCGGACGAATACATGAGCCCCTGGGACAACGAGGTCAGGGAGGAGGAAGGGAGCGAGAGGGAAGGGGGAAGGAAGAGGGGGGAGGCGGGATGGAGGAGACGGCAGGAGCAGGAGCAGAAGGTTGGGGCAGGAGCAGAGGGATAGGAGGACGTGAAAAAGATTGTTCCATCAGCTGACTACTTGGCAGGACGACTGACACCAAAAGATCAACAAGTGTAGAGATGTATAATAACAAACATGTCACCACTATACACAATCCTCCTCGCCTCGCCTCTCTTCCTCTCTTGTCACTGCTGCCTTGCCCTCCTTTTGTTGCTCATCGCCTCCTTGAGCTGTTTCGCGCACATGCTCTGCCTCCACGAGCTCTTTCTCGCCTCTGGGGTCGCGCAGTAGTTTCCCTGCCACTGCATGTGCTCGCAGGACTTGAGAAAGTGCTGCTGCTCTCCTATGACACAACCAGGACGCACAACCCGCAGCCAGCCCATGGCTTCGTCCGCCGACATCCCGTGGTGGCGCATCATCCACAGGGCGATCAGTGTCCCCGTCCTCCCGAGCCCGGCGAAGCAGTGGACAGCGACCCTGCGCTCTCGGTCGCAGATGTCGAAGAAGGAGGAGATGATGTTGGGGGGAGGTACGCTGCAGTCCTCGAAGAAGAGGTCGTAATGGCGGATACCGTTGTCCGTGAAGATCTTGGAAGAGTAGCGGACCTCGTTCAGTCGAACGACAGCCGTAACTCGCAACTCCTTGAAGATGCTGACGAACTTGTTAGGACGATGATCGAAGACGCCCTCCCCTTGCTGCACGGGGCCCTTGAAGGCCACGAACTTATGGCAGAGCTCGTGCAAGTCGGCGAACAGCGGGTCGCTAAGCTTGTCATACCTGATCAGGTCGAACTTGCTCATGCTGAACCAGCCGTTCCTGGCCGCCTTATCCACCCCCTTGACGCAGCTCTCAAACTCCAGGTCGAAGTCAGATCGCACAAACGTCGCGTCCCTGTAGGGCAGGAAGGGCCGTGGCTGGATGTCAGCAAAGGGAGCTACCGCCTCCTTGGCCGAAGCTCCTCGGCACAGGAGCATGTAGCAAGAGAGGAGGAACGCAGCGTTTGTGCACACCCTCGGATGCAACGGGCAGAAGTAGATGAGCTTGTGTCTCAGCCAGTCAGGTCGCTGCAGCAGCCCCTCCATGGTCCTGCAGAACTTGTAGACCGTGCCGAGGTTGAGAGGACCGAAGTCGTCGCAGAAGGGGATGTAGCTGTCCTGTGAGAGAGGCAAGGTCGTGAGTGCGAGGAGGCTGCTTGTTGCAACAGACCTGAAGATCGGAGGAGATGAAGACTGTGTCCTTGCAGACCTTAATCCTCGCCTTCACAAAGTCATCTATCCCTATGCAGAAGTAGAGTCTGTTGGCTATGACGGGATAGATCGGGTGCTTTCTTCCTTCCCCCAGACGAACAAAGCTGGACATGTCGCCTCGGTGACCTTGAAGGGCTTTTCAGGGCGGAGATTCCCAAAGATGTGTAGGAAACGAATGAAAACGTTGTTGTCTTGTTTGATTTGCAGCGGAGGAAGTTGATTCTGAAAACATGGCATCAACAAGGTCGCAACAACATTGCGCGATCCTCACAAGAGCAAGTGACTTACTTCCTGTCTATCAGGATGAGTACATGATGTGAAGTCTGGCTGCAGAGGATGAGCCGAAGAGCAGCGATGAAGGTCTGCAGGAGCTTCGGCGAGCAGACTGAAGCTGCGCAGAGACGATGGGGCGGGAAAGGCAGGAGAAGGGGAGAGGAGGAGGGGAGGGGTGGAGGGAGGGGAGGGGTGCAAGTAAGTCGGAAAGAGGGAGGGGGGTGGGGTGGGAGGGGGGGCGTCTGGATGGAGGAGAGGGGAGGACCTCTGTGCATGGAGCGGTCAGACTGGGCGAGTCGGGGAGGCTCTTTCCTGGTACTACGCGCAGCCCGCCTCAGGCGTGTAGGCTCAAAATTCAAAATCATACTGAATTGAGATATACACGCCTACTGCCCCCTTTGACTGATTCAGGGGACTAGCTAGCAAGCTCAGTTGCTGTACAGACCTCTTAGTAGACCCCCGGGGCCGAACAAGCCTGCCTCACTGGATCAAGAGTATCCTGTGACTAGACTCCTCTTCGGTCAGGTATCCGCATACAGTGACTCTGAGGTCAGTCAGGCACGTCAGAAAGTCTCGGGGGCAGGTGAGACGAGGGAGACGAGGGAGACGTGAGTGTATTGACGCTGCCGACATGCAGCTCTTGTCCCCTGTGTCACTTCGCTAGACGGGAGAGATGTCGTGCGTATGGCCATGGCTGGTGACCGCGGCGTTGAAAGAGGAGAATCTTGTCTGAAGGTCAGAGAACGAGGAAGGAGAGTAAGAGGGAACCTCGTTGAAAGCAGTCTCGTCTCTTGTGAGGAGCTGGAGGGAGGGTTAGAAACTGTAAGCCACGATAGGAGAACGACATTGATGTGGGCCGGGGCGAAAGCTCTCAATCTTGTGCTGGTGAAGACCACAGGTCTGAAATAGCTGTCAGTACATGAAGGTCAAGAGGGAAACATACTTGCTAAGGGAAGTTCGATGCTTGTAGAAGAGGATGCTCAGGATGGTTTGATCTTGCCGATGATTGGTCTTGTTGGATCCAAGGGGAGCAATACACTCTCTGAGGGACAAGTTGATGGAGAAGTTGGAGAGGAGAAGCAGGGAGAGAACGAAGGTAAGGAGGGTGAGAAGGAAGGAGAGGGACAAGGTAGGAAAGGGACAAGGAAGGAGAGCGAGGAGATGGAACCTGTTCAATGCGCACTCATACCACGGCTCCACCACCAGCCTCATCATCTTCGCGTCTGCCTGGTTGAAACCAACGACGCCACCTGCCGTCTCGGCGTTAGGAGAGACCACGAGCAGGAGGCGGCTGACTCACTCCAGACTTCCAGCGACGCATGCCCCTTCTCGTCCGCAAAGACCCCAAACGAGCTGCTGCTCAAGGAGCCGTCAAGAGCGACGCCTCCTCTAAGTACCCCACCTCTCCTCCGTCACGTTGAGACTCCTAAGGGATTGCGGGTGTACCCAGGAGTTAGGAAAGGGCCACCTGAAAGCTCGTCAGCTCCTCACGGTATGGTGGAAGGGTGACCCGGAAGCGAGGAAGAGAGCCTTTCTTTCCCCCATCCAGTCGAAGGCCCAGGAGACGTCTCTCCGCAACTCGATCCCTGCTCCTGTGGTCAGAACCTCATGACCTCCTCCTCTCCGTCCTGCTGCCCCTCCCCTTACCAGAGTCCAACCATAGAATACACTGATAGTCCGTCAGAGCCTTCCGGATCACGATGGGTTTGAACGCGTAGGTGCTCTCTTCCCATCCCGTCCACCTGCCCCACACTCACGTCCTCTCAAAATTCCCCGACGATTCTACCGGACGTGCTCAGGAAGTTTGCTGAAGTCCAACTTGCGAACAGAGACGTTCCTCCACCCCTGAAGCTGTTGATTCTGCGCTCTTGTATTGGTCAAGGTGCGTGTCGTGAGCATCGCAACCTGTCTCTCCGTCAACCCGACGTCGTACACAACGATTGGGATGTCTGAAGCCCAAACATGGATGGATCCGACCTGTTCTCAGTCAGAAAGGAAGAGTGGCCGACTGATCTCACAAGGTTTGCTAATCTTTCAAAATATTCATGAGAAGCCGCGCTCACCAGCGCCCTGCTCTTGCCGCAGCTGTCTGCTAGGTCATCATCAGCAACCCCTTCATCCTCGTGTTTTCTTGAACTATCCCCTACACGTATCCATCGCCTCGGCCTCTTCCTTCACCTCACCTATCTCCTTCTTCCTAGGCATAGCCTCCAACGGCGTCTTCGCTTCCAAAGTGAAGTTCCATAGCCGACACTCCATCATCGTCACCTTGAACACGATTGGCAACAACGAGAAGAGAGGAGAGGGAGGACCTGCAGGTTGTACCAGACGTTCATCGACGAGGAATGTCGCTTAGCAGTTGCATGAATCGCCTCGACCTTGGCGTATCGTACAAGCTCATCTCACAAGCAAGTGCAGCGCTTTCCTCTCACCGCCTCCTTGCATCGTCCTGCGTTCCTCAGAGCTTTCGCTTCCGTTATGCTCTGGTCTAGGGCGGAGCTCTTCTCGGCTTGGTTGGACCACGCGTACTTGTGGACGAGATGGAGGAAGGGATGGGATGCCTGCGCTATGTGAGGGCAGGCGGCCAGTGGGGTGAAGAGAGAAGCGCTTCACCTTGTCTGCAAGCGTGCAAGGATGCAGCAGCACGCGTGCAAGAGACAATGCCGCGTGAGTACCTTGCTTTGGAGCTGCGAGACATCAGCCAGACCTCCTCGTTCATCCACCACTCCCAGCACCTTCCTTGACATCGCTCAGCAGTCTCAGACCCGTCACGATCGCTCGCATGGCATGTGAGACGTAGGGCTTCCACAGCCTTGGAACGTTCCGACCATCACAACGAGCGGCAGACAGTCGCTCAGACGTGATCGCCTTCGCTTGCAAGTCTCAGCACATGCCCTCACCCCAGCGCTCCTACCTCGTCTGGGAACGAGAGGATGTCATGAAACCTGGTCCCGAGGAGGATCCATGTCTCTGCTAGACATCCGCTGCTTCTGAATTGAGCATACTATCTAACATCATGCACATAGTCACCTTGAGTGACCTGACAGGTGGTCAGCAAGGATATGAAGCAGCTCTGAGCTTGCTTTCTCGCAATGGTTCAAAGCGACCTGTCCTGTTACAACCTGGCGATACTGAGTCAGGTTCTTACGGAGAGAAACATCAGGCATCACCCTTTCAAAGCATGTCCTGCTGTCGAGATTTCTTGCACAAGCCTTCAGGCCGTGAAACAAGACGAGGCATAGCAATTGAAGTCCTAATCGAGACATTTCCAGCCAGGCAGGGCTTGAAGAGATGAGGAACGTCCTTAAGTGCTCATGCTTCGTCTCCTCCACTTGTCTCCTATTCCTCCCTCTCTCTCATGCTCTTCTCAGACTGCTTGTCTACCCGACTGTTCCCTGCACCTCTCGTCCCACTCGCCATACCAATCGACCCGACTGTCCACGTACTGATTTTTAACTTAACTTTGAGTAAAATTAACCCGACTGGTGACTCGACTCTGACCCCCGGGCCCCGGCGATGATCGCCCGGCCGGGCCGGCCCCCCCCCCGCCGCCGGGCGGCGGACCGTCGGACCGTCGACTCCGAGGCTCCGCTCAGACCAGCGGACCGGGACCGGGGCCGCCGGCCGGGCCGCAGCGCACGGCCGCATACTAGTAGTACCGGCGTGAGCCGGGCCAGGCCACCGGGCCAAGCCTGTCTCCGAGTCACTGTGAGGTAGCACTCAGTCTTTACTACTCACAGGCACGGTACGCCGCCGTACAGCGAGCCTCCGAGCCTGAACCAACCGGGCCTTATCCTGGTTGCTGTCCCCCGCAAACTTTGCCTTACGGTAACTTGAAGGCTGCACTAAGACTAAAAGATCAGAACTTCGCCTTGTCACCGTGGAGGCCCGGGTCCGGGCCGCCCGTCTGAGGCACTGCACGGTGCGGCCGCCCGGCCTGTGACGTCCTGCCATGAGGCCCGGCGCCGGGCCGCCCCCGGCGGCCGGGCCGGGGTCCGATCGGCCCCCGGGCCCGGGCCCGGCTCAGGAGTCAGCCAACGCCTACTAGTAGCGGCTACTTGGCTGGCCTACCTTTTTATATGGCGAAGCGATGGGAAGGAGCTTGCAACTTCGGAGGAAACTGTGCGGGGGGAGGAAGAAGGACGTTAAAAGAGAGTCACATACATCTCGACCTCGATAGGCCATGAACCCTCTGTAGTGGACGCCTGCTGTCTCTCAATCATGTGCTATCGGAAAGCCATCCTTGCATCTTCTCTTGTGGCGTTGCTGCTTGTCTTGCAAGAGGTACATGGTTGGGCAAGTGCCAGCGTTGTCCCTGGAGTGATGACCTCACAGAAAAGAAGACAATTCTTTTGTTCCTTTGGCAAATGCTCGTCATGTCGGAATGCCCAGCCTCTGAGAGCTGTCGAGGCCCCGCAGCCTTCAATTCTTATGGCAGATATGGGTCCATCCCAACCTGCCACTTTGCTGATCTCTAGAGCAGATGCGGGAGATCTAAGGAGCATCGCTTCTTTACGAGCAAGAGAACCAGAAGCTTGTCCCCCCCGCGCTAGGACAGCAGAGCTCTCAAGGCAAGGGCTGTACCTGCGAGAGCTCGAGAAGTTGGCTTGCGGCACAGCCGCACTGTTTGCAACGATCGAGTCATCTGAACCTCTCAATGTCGAAGATCTTCAAGAGTTTTCAAACTTGAAAGAAATGCTGGACGCGAGATTCATGAGCCAAGAAATGTTCGATCAGTCTGTACAGAGTTTGCAAGAGCGGTACTCCGATGTTACGATCAGAAGGACTGTCGGTGCAGTGGATGTGGACGATATCAGGGGAGTGACAGAGAGTATCCAGCATCATTCTATGTCAGCCTTCAAGAACAGCTGCTACATCTCCAACTTTCTAGTCGACTCGAAGTATCGTCGGCGAGGCATCGGCAGCAGACTGCTGAAGGCGGTAACTCGCTATGCGCATGAGAAAGGTTTCGGTGCGATGATCCTGTCTGTGGAGGGGAACAATCAGAGTGCACTCAGGCTGTACGAGAAGAACGGGTTCAGAGAGGTCGATGACGCTGGTGTCTACAGCTCGTTACGCAGGTGGGAGCTGATCTCTGAGTCTTGGTCCTTGTAGTGATGATCTGTTCCAGGATCTTTCAGGCACGTTTTGCCGTTCCAATCTCCTCCTTGGTCTTTGTAAAATCCGTCAGTAAGGAAGAAGCTACCAGCTGTTACAACCAGCAGCAAAGTTTGAAGCCCGGTTAAGTTTCTCTGAGTTGAATCGCCGCTGGGGGATGATCGGACGTGGCTTGGCTTGAACGGTGCGGTGACTCGAAACTTGCGGCAACTGTCAGCCGTTCTCAACGAACTTCTTGCGTGTTACATTACTAACGCCGCCCGAAAACTTAACTCAGTAGTAACTTGATGAAGTTCAATCTTTACTCAAAATTAAGTTAAAAACTGATCAGTCAGTGACACGGTGACTCGCCACCCAGGCCGCGGTGTACGAGGACAGTCTGCCGGCAGGAGCATCGAGGAGGCTTGATCCTGACACTGCCACGTCGCACAGGCCATCATGCATGGCATGACGGCGAGGCAAGAGAAAAGACAGCGAGAACCAAACCGAAACCTGCCAACTGCTGTCCCCCAAACTTAACTGATACCTTCACTTCAATAGTAACTACGCGCAGGACAATTCCTGGCAGCGAAGGACAGGGAGACCTTCAAAGCTGACGAAAGATTCTGGACCGGATGCGTTTCAAGTTTGCAAGTCGGAGCGCTGCCGTTTCCTTGTTCGCCGAGCCATCCGCCAGCCACAACAGAAAGCGCAACGCATCATCCTGCAAGAGTCCATTAGTGCTGGCGATGATGGGAAGAAAGGCCTTTGGCCGCCCCGCGCGGGACGTGCTGTGCATTTGCATTACGATGCCCGGCTCGGAACTTTTGCTCCGATGCTCCGAGCCAGGTCCGGTGTTCCATCATTGTCGACGGTCAAAAACATGCGACATGCTCACTTTGAGTATATTTTTTCCCTCATCCTGCCGACTGCTGTCCGGTCCCCCAAACTTCTTTACTCAAAGTTAAGTCAATGATCAGTACTAGTCCGAGTCACTGAGTCACGGTCCCGGCGACCGGTCAGTCACTGAGAGGTGCCGTGAACTGGAGAACTTTCAACTAAGTTGACAGCAAATCACTGGCGGCCCCCGTTGGCCTCGCTCTACGTGGCACTTACGTTGTTTTTAGGGGGTCCGGAATGCTAGGGCATCAGGTCCTATAAGCTATGGGCCCCCTACCAATCTACCGCCGTATACAGCTTTACTCCTGGCATGGCCGCTACTCCCACCCCTATACATCCTCCTCCCCGTCTTACAGACTATCCTCCTCCTCCTCCTCCTCCTCCTCCTCCTCCTCCTCCTCCTCCTCCTCCTCCTCCTCCTCCTCGCCTTTGCCATCTCAGCAACTTCCTCCATCTGCTTCAGCGTATTTTCCTCATGTGATGTGAAATGGGTAACGTGCCGTCCCACCAGTCCTACTCAGCAGAGACCATCGACGCCTTCCGCAATTCCTTCCTCACCATGCAGCAGCTTCGTGCCGAGAGGCTCCTCGGCCCTATAGACTGGCAGGACGACGACAGCTGCGAGAGGCATACCACGATGAACACGATCAATAACTCCCTCATGCACGCTGCTCTACAAGACGTTGAATGCTCAGCTCCACGCAAGCCTCGAGCGAAGCCATACTCTAACAGGGTAGCTTTCAGCGTCCCCAATGACGGGTCCCCAAGTCCAGACAGGCCCTCGCCTTCTCCAGCCAAGACCTTCAAGGCGACTTTCACGACCTTCTTCCCCAGGACCCGTAGCTGCGACTCGGTTGAGGATGCACTAGAGGACTCAAAGGTCGCCCTGCGAAAGCAGCAGGCAGCATTCAAGCTCAAGAGAGCTGCCACTTACATCCAGGAGCGAATCAAGTCGCTGTCAACGGTACCAACAACAGTGGAGGTGGGGAACTGGACGAGGATGGAGGTCCAGCAAGGGTGGGTGGAGGGCTACTAAGATGCGAAGTTAACTCAGAGCATCTCTGCTGACAAGATACGTTATTGACTCACAAAGCAAGAGAAGAAGAGACATGAAGTTCAGACAATCATACCAATACAAGAGTTCCACCCGTACTTTGCGCTCTCTGTTTCCCGATGGGTTGTTGTTCTGAAGCATTAAAGCCGTTGCTGTCTTTGTAGCTGTAAGAAAGGACCACAGCTGCTTGCTGTACACTCGTGAGCTCGTGCTCGCCAAAATCCCTTCCTGTGGAGGTTGGAGCTCACTTTCGCAGAGCTCTAATGATACCTTATGTGATGATCTCAGCGACTCAATCGAGATGGAGGAGGAGAAAAGGAAGAAAAGCTGCTGTGGACTATGAAGGCAGGAGCAGTGTGGATGGACAAGCCTTGAAGGTATCAGGGCCGGGAAGTGAGGCTGAGATATGGTATGCTGGTGAGATAGGCACACGATGTGGAAGAGAGATACACCACGGTAATAGGTAATAGTCATAACCTTCGGAAAGATATCTGAAGAGCGAGGTAGGCTAGCAATCTTCGGATTCCCAACCTTCAAGTTGTCGATTGCAAGGTCAGTGATAGGAAATGGCCAGGCTCAATCCTAGAGGAAGCAAAAGATTTTAAGATGTTTCCCATTGTCATGTTGGATTTCATCGAGCTTGTGACTTCACAGGTCCGGTCTCAAATCGTGGAGCCATGTTCAATCGTGTGACCAGGCTGTGCTCTTGGTTGGCTGCGTACTCCAACACAGTTCTCACTCTCCGCTTCCCCTCCAACACAACAATGCACACAGTGCACACCACATGTCCAGCCGCCCTTCCCCAACTTGAAAGCCCCTGACTACTTCCTAAGTCCTGGTTGAAGGCTATCAGAGCAACTCCATCTCGCTGAGCTTCGTCCACCGATGCGACACATTACCCTGAACTTCTCATCACCTTCAAGAACTCATCTGGGTTCTTACGATCGAGGACGTACGCAGTACGGGAGAACTTCGGAACTTCGGAACTCAGTGCTAACTGATCGGACTCTTGCTGGGGCCGGTGACGCGCCGCCCGGCCGCTGGCCGAGAATAGGACTCCGGGACTTTGAGTAAAGACGCCTGACGGGGCTCGGATCCGATATCATGAAGTTGCGTCGATCGGAGCCGGGGCCAGGCCGGCCGCTTGCCGCCGGAGGCCGGATCACGGGTCACGTCCTACCGTAGTACGCTCAGGCTGGCTGAGTCCGCGATTCCGGGGGCCGCCCGGCCGGGGGGATCACTCAGTCACTACTAGGCTAGTAATAACAGGCCCCGGCCGGCGAGTCAGGTGATACTATATCATCTGCGGCGGCAAAGAACCTCCCCCCTCGGGGGCCTCACTGAATGATGCGGCACGGCACGGGCAATCGATCGGACGTTTCAACTTAGGGGGACGAGGACCACATGCGAACTTCCGATGGACATTTTGATGTCTGAAGCAGAGGCTGATTGACTCTGATTGACTCTGATTGACTCTGATTGACTCTGATTGACTCTGATTGACTCTGATTGACTCTGATTGACTCTGATTGACTCTGATTGACTCTGATTGACTCTGATTGACTCTGATTGACGGTGAGTGCGTCATTTGAGTTGCAGGCAGGTACCAACCCGCCTCAGCATCACGGCGCCTGCCCTGCTGGACTGAGGCGGCGAAAAGCGTGTCCTGCAACGGAGAGCAAGGAGGCAATACGATGAGACGCTCTAGTGACCCACTTCTTGCGAGCGTTATGCTCAGGTACCGAGTATTGCAAGTCTTCCTGCTGTGCTTGACACTGATTGCACCATCGGTGCAAGCTACTTCGCCCCCATTCATCCAAGGAACGAACGTTACTGCTGGAACCAATAATATTTCGTTCATAGCATCTAGTGCTCCGTTTTGGTACTTTTCTCCTTCCTGTCAAACTGCACCATATGATGGGGTGGATGGACTTGATGTCATGCTCAGGGAAAGTGGGATCAGGTACAGATATTGCATCAACCCATACCAAACATGGGATGATCTCTTCGCAAATGCAAGTTCAGGTAAAGTTGCCTTTCGTACTGGTGGGCTGGGAATGTTCACCATCCTCAATCGTTTCGAGGTATGGATGTGCATATCAGATCATCCTTGTGCTCTAGACATCACAGACAGGTTCTTTTGTTGGGTTTTTGACGAACAGACACGTTCTTGGCATCCGTGGGGAGAAAATTCGAATTTGAGGCTTTTCACGCCTCCCCCAAAATCAAGCAATCTATGGCTGAGTACGGATTCGAAAATTGCATTCAACCAACCGGAGCTAGTTTCATCAGAGCAGATTGAATTGAATGTTTCACAGTTTAGGATGGACATCAGTATGACGGTGGACAATGCCTTTGACCTTTACGTTGATGGGAGGTACATTGGGTCGGGTAAGGATTGGCAAATTGTGTACAAATATTCGGTACCTGTAATATCATTGAGTACTGTCCATATTGCCGTAAAAGCAATGGATTTTGGAGTACTATCAGGATTGATCGGAATCTTCGGAGGTTATCCAACAAGCCCGGCTAATTGGAAATGCAAACATTTTGCGAATGACACAGCTCCAGAAGGATGGACGACAAGATCCTACAATGACACAATGTGGCCGCAAGCCATCATTCATGAAGGTCCGAGCGTGCCACTCAATGCTGATTTCTTGTGGACAGTTGGGTATGTTGGCAAACCCATGACTGTTTTTTGCCGCGGCCTCATCCAGCGCCCAAAACTCTGGTATCAGGCAGCTTAGCCTGATCGAAGGTGGCATCATGCCGGACAAAAGGATTATCACTTGCGTGTTGACGAAAAATGCTTCTGGACCTGGGCGACAGGAGTAGCCTAATTGTGTAGAATGTTGTGCTCTTAGCGATGATACAGTACCAGCAATCAGGTTTAGGGTTTAGACAAAGGCAATGGTTTATTTCAACTTGTCCCTCGTTCTGAGAAGCAACGTTGCCGCTTGGAATGCTATCGTAAAATCTACCCGGTGCACAAGCGGTGCTCATGAGAGGCGCAGAGGCGGTCAGTCTGGGTCACGGGGATCTGCTTGGGAACCTGGACAATTCGTGGGCTCCTGAACGGCAATCACCTTCTCCTCCATGATAGTCTTGGGGCGCTGAACGGTGCGGGTGACAGTCTCATACACCTGGTGGGGGACCTCGATTTCACGGTCCTCCATCACGATCTTGGGGGCCGTCTCGGTCCCCTGGATGACCTGGTCGACCATGACGGTGACAGGAACCAACACGGTGCGGAGAACAATCTTGGTCTGGGTCTTGGGGGTCTTGTAGACGATGTCATGGTCCTCCATCACGGTCTTGGGGACCTAAACAGACTCCATGTATGTGCGGGGCTCCTGCACAGTCTGAGTCTGGTAGTCAAGCTGCTGTAGGGGACAGTGGTTGTCTCGGGAACTACATCTGTCGATCACATCGCCAATCACCGTAGTAGGTATCGGTGAAAGATCCTTCGTTTCATCACCAATACCCTACGGCATGATACCATGTGTTATGAGGACGAGCTAATCAATCCTCGGGAGCCGCCTGAAGGAGGAGTTAGACCGAGCTCGATCATCAGGCAAACTTGTTGGAGTACAGCTTACTGACGAACATGGTATACTCCAGGAAGCCAAGGAGATGGCGCGAACAGACAAAAGCGTCTTCTCTTCTCCGTGGGAGCGAGCCTACATTGATCAAGATATCAGCTTTGCAATCGAAGAAGAGGAGGCATCTCAACCAGATATCGACAGGCTGAAGATCTGGGATCGAATCACTCGAGACAAAACTTTGGAGGAGAAGCTCGGACCCGGCCCTCTCACATTGACGGAAAACTTCCTCCTCGAAGGGCAGGTTGGGCGAAAGCTCCGGGGAGTGGCGCTGAAGAGATGCAAGGGAGCGGTCCTACGCACTGCAATTCAAGCCATCACCCTATCTGCACCGACCAAGAAGAAATTGTGCCGATGGAAGAAAAGTAACTCACCGTACTGTGCATGGTGTCCTGGCGAGAGAAGACTTGGGGGCATGTTCAGCTCGCCTGCAAGAGCTTTGAGCTCATGACCAAGTTGGCACAACACAGTTATGGAAGCCATCAAAGCAGAAGAGTGACAGAAGAGTTGGAGGAAACATCTTAAGTTCTGCCACGGAGTTGCCTGGTGTTTGCCACCAGCTCGAACACAACACCAGTCAACTCCATGTGTTCGAGCTGGTGGCAAACACCAGTCAACTCAATGGCAGAACTTGAGATGCAACAACTCCAGCAAGGGTCATCACAGATGGCGTATGCTACTTCAAGAGAGAAATCGCATCGTGCTTGTGGAGATAGCACGAACATCTGAATATGGTGGCAGCGAAGGCATGGGCAGTCTGCAATGCTTGCGGGAGAAATGTGTGGAGAAAGAAGTCAAGTATGCAGGCCTGCTGGAGGGGATGAGAAGGGTAAGGCCAGAGGCGGAAGGTGTTCAAGCTACATTTATCGCGGGGATCAAGTGCGCTATCATGGAACTCGAATGGCGTGAAAACTGGAGGAAGCTAAAGAAGGATGAGGAGACGATCGATTCAGCCGCGGTCAAAGTAATTGTCCAACTTGTGGAAGTGCAACAAATGTTATGGTTTGCAAGGAGGAAGGGGCTAACGACCCCAGAGGTTTCAACAGGATGAAGGATCAGAAGAACAGAACCATACTGACATCAAAAGGGGAAGGGGCCGACCTGTTTGGGGTGGAAGCACCGATGGACAGGTAAGGCAGCCGATCGGATGCATCACAGCAACAAAAGAAGGGAAGGGGCGATAAGCAACGGTAGGGAGAAAAGAAAGGTGAGCTGAACAATTGAGCTTCCTGGGGGATGACAATAATGCCTCATGCGGCAGCGGTGCTTGCAGAGTCGGAATCGACCGGTGGACTTTACGAGCAAAACAAGCGATAATCTGATCTTCAAAAAGGTTGGGGTGATATACACCTTGACCAGCCGCCGAGTTATTGACACGAAGAACACTGATGTTTATATACCACTATCCAACCACCCCTAACCCGGCCCCCTCAGGGCCTGCCAGCGGCAGTGGCCCGGCCCTACACATCCGATCCGGCGGGCCGGCCGGAACCCGGGCCGTCCCGGCAGTGCCAGGCTGAGGATCCGCCGTGACATGACACTACTGAACGGTTAGCCGACCGTACGGTGCCGCGCTGTCACGGTCCGACGGTCGTCACGGAGGGTGACGGGGCAAACGGGCTTTGAAGGTCAACGGACACACCTCCGTGCCAACGTGTACCGTGGCCCTACTCTAGTAGGGCCAGTTTATATACATCAAGATTGGTGTGGTTGGTAACTCGGCGGCTGGTCAAGGTGTATATCACCCCAACCTTTTTGATAGTTCTACGTGGTTGTGCTCATAAACTCCGCCGATCGATTCCTTGTCGCATCCTTGACCCTTCGGCACGAATAGGCATTGAAATATGATTTTTAAACTTTTAATCACGTCCTACAGCAAGGGGTACACGACCCGTCAATATGCCTGTTAAAGCTGGGGAAGAAGTAAGGTAGGGGTCATAAGAATGGTTCCAGGTCTTTTCCTTGCTCCATTTTAGTGGATCCGTTAAAGATAAGAGGTCCCACCTCTTCAAAAGGGATCTACAGACTACGAAGGAGGGGTGGTGGAACATCTCTGTAAGTCAGAAAGCTATCTTGGGTGGGGAATGTTTTACTCGTATATCAGGGGGTGGGGGTACTGTGCGAGATTGTTTTGAATGGGTGGGTGGTAAATCAGGTCAGTGGTAGGGGTGAGATAGGAGGGGAAAGGGGTGGGGACGAGCATAGAGCTCAACCTGGAGCTTCGAGGCATGCGGAAAGGCGGTGGAAGAAGAGGAGAGAGCAGAGGAGAAGCTCACTTTTGATCTGAAAGAAAGTCTACGAATATAGAACTTGATCTGCTGCCTACAAGCAGTAGAACCTCAAGCACCTGTTCCTTTCATACCACTCCTGAGTGGATCTACGCACAATACAATGGCTGTGCAACACGAGGAGGAAGATGGAGATGTCTGCATCAGAGCACCACCCAACCTGCATAACTTCTTGACTCTGGAAGATGATTTGGTATATGCCGACACTCAGGCTTCACCGATAAGGAACCTCTATTATGATCCTTATAACTTCAGAGAAGCCATGTCAGAGATCGAGCCTGCACAAGCTGAACGACCAGATCTTACATGCTGTGAGTTCATCCTGAAGTTTTGTTGTCCCTGGACTTGTCGAAACAAAATGCGTCTTCACATTGAGGAGAGTGACGAACTTTCTCCCTTCTTTGCTCAGCCTGAAGATTGTAAACGATACAACAGAACCCAGAGGACTATGGTCATGTTGAACGTGTTGCTTGTGACCTTGCTAAGCACCTCCCTCATCATGCATGTATTTTCGGCATCATCATTCTGGATAAAGACGGTCTCGGGGATTATTCTCAACTTGCTGCTGCAATCCATTTTGTTTTCCTACTGCGTCAAGTGCAGTTTTATTGGAACCATTTTTAACAAGGAGGATTCCTTCTGTTGTCAGTGCTTTTGTGACCGCTTGCACAATGCACGATGCTGCTTGAATTTCATGCGATACATTTTGAAATTGTTTGCTCTACTCCTATCTCTTGCTTCCTTGTACTTCTGTTACTTCATGATCAACAATCTCAAAACTTGCCAGTCGTTCGTCTTTCAGAATGCTTCGATCAATCATGCTGTGTCCTCTCATCAACTTCTACCAGCAGGCATCGTTTTCAATGTTGCAGTGAATGCCACCATCAACAGCACCAAACAAGTTGACACCAATCAAACTTCATCCTTGCGGGCTACAAGGAAAGAAACAGCTGCAATGGAGTCTCGAGAAACCTTGCAGTTCATATGTGAGTCCAAGTCAAACCTGGACGCATATAGCTTCTGTGAAAATATTGGAGGAAAACTTCTTGTCTTGGGGGAGGAATCGAATGAAACGGAGATAATGCAGACTATGCGTCTGTATAATTCGACCTCACTATGGTTGGCAAACACAAGCTCAAATCTTACTTCCTTCTCGGCCATTGGCTCTTCGTGCAAGGTTCTGCAATTTGATGCTTCAAGCAATCAAACATCATTTGTAGATCAGTCTTGTCAGAATCTGAACCAGTTCATGTGCTCTCTGCCCCGACCTTTAAGGCTGCTGCCTCAGTTCCAACAATGCCGATGCTCAGTCACGCAGTACGACTACTGGCTGCTACTGGCCATCCACTATCTGACGTATTTCCTGTTCGGCATCGCCATCAGATTTCTTCTCAATTATTTTTGCTTCGCGCCTCTCTACTTCGGATGCACTCCATGCTGCCGACATTGTCTACGATGCTGCGTGATGGAATATTGGGCGCTATCAGACCGCAAGGGTGAACCGGCTGCATTCGTAAAACCAGGGAAATGCTTCTGGACTTGGCGAATTTTTTCATGGCAAGAATGCCTCCTGCTCCGTGAAGATTGCTGTCAAGAAGATTGAAAATATTGTCGGCATCCCTCTTTCCATCACCCTTCCGTACTCACCAACGTTCTTTCCTCTCTGTCCTGGATCACCTGTTGAATGAAATTTCTTTGTACAACAAGGGGCAATGTAACACGATTCATTCTTAGAGCTCTCAATGTCTGTACATCCGTAACCTTCCTTCGCACCATTCTCAACCTTAAAAAGATCCCCATGGTGCCCGCTGTCCCTCAGCGTACATCTGCTTGTACAGGGCAGACTTTGTGCTGTTGAAAGAAAAGGTCAAGATCAAGAGCCTCGAAAAACGCTCCTCCTCTTACCCTGAGCTTCCTACACTGCGGGAAAGTCCTTCCCACTGCATCTCTGTCGAGTTACCCAACCTCTTGTGACCTGCACTATCTGTCACACCAACCCCCATCCCACAGAAAGAAGAGGAACCGATCAGGAAACTCTTGCCAATGTCTGACGTGAGCCCCTGCTCCCAGAACTTCAAGTTGCTGGAGTGAGGCATCACATGAGGATAATGACCGTCAACCACCTGAGAAAACAATCAGTCCTCGTTGCGAGCCATCTCCTACTTGGCACCCTTTCTGCACACCCAACAACTCCCACATTCACATCAGGGAAGCCACACAACTCTATTCTCGAGGGGCTATCACTTATTCCCAACACTCACTCATCTCGATTCCAAAATAAACTTTTCTCTGCAATTGCTTCACAGACGATCTACACAGTATTCGACATTCCAGAAGTCGTTGTTAAGTCGTTGTTTCAAGCAACAAAGCGGCTGGGAATCAACCTAGCTAGGAGGACTGCAGATGATATTTCACAAACAACCCATCTTTCACGAACAAGATGACCTTTCACGAACAAGATGACCAACGCTTCATTGTCCATACATACATTGCGCGACGTTCATAATCTACTTCTTCTATTCTCAGACCCTTGTCCGATGCCCTCTCTTTCCTAGCTGCTTACTTGCTCAACACAATAGCCACTTCCACTTCCTGGGAAGCAGAGAAGGAAACAAGAAGAAGGGGAGGAGGAATAATGGGGATGAAGGTGAGGAGGGAAGAGGGAGAAGAGAGGAGCAGGAAAGAGGGAGTTTAAAGGAGGATGTGTTCATGAGAGGTGCGGGCCGCTCACTCTCTGCGACGTCTGGATGCATTTCTCAATCCCCGGGATGCCGCATACGTCCAACAGCTCGAACATGCTGGTCCTTCAACGCTATTTCCGGAGCAAGTGATGGGGGATGGGGGCCAAAAAAATGAGGGGGATGACTCTGGCGATGACTATTATTGGGCCGCCTGTATGAGGGGCTGTATGAGGGGCTGTATGAGGGGCTGTATGAGGGGCTGTATGAGGGGCTGTATGAGGGGCTGTATGAGGGGCTGTACGAGAAGATGGAAATCCCAACAATGCGTCGGGTGCATGGCGAGGGCAACGAGGCGAGGAGGAGGAGGAATGAGATGCAGATAACAACAAGACGATACCATCTTGTTGGTGGCTGATCCAAAACACCGACGCCTTCTCCTTTCCTCGACATGACGACGATTGCGCTGCTGGTCACCCTTCTTGGATTCGCAATGCTGAGATCTCAAGTCTGTCGGGCCGAGGAGACAAGATGCTTCCTGTGCTCATTGAGAGATGCGAGTATGCGTATCCGAGGAGGCGATTCCTCGGAGCTTGACATCTTTAAGAAGTATAAAGAGGAAGAACGGGTGTTACGGCGAACGTTCAAGGTGGAGCCGAACAGCGAACCTGACTCTGAGTACCATGACGAGAGAGAGTCGGAGATGCAACTAGTTCCTCCTCTCCCCATGAATGCCACCAGCATCTATCAAGTGGCCTATCAAGATGTCTGGCCAGGGGATGGAGAGCGTCCGAGAGAGGGGCAGGTAAAGCGAGTAAGTTTGAACCTCGATGGTTGACAAACTTGCTAAGCTCATAAGATTGCGATGGAATGTTGCCAAGAGCTACGAGCATCTCAGTGATCAAGAGTGAGCTAGGTTGCAGTCTCGGGCTCCTGCTGACTCACCGCCCTCAGGACAGGAAGGCCCTGGAAAGGCGACGACTTGAAGAAAGGCGGCAGCGTCGTATGGCCGGACGACGAGCCGTTGGAGTTCGTCTTGTACCAGGTGCAGCAGTGGCGACAAGCAAGGACAGGCTGACTAGAGATGTGAAGGACCCTTACATCTGCCCCGGCATAGAGGATGCTGTCGCCTCCATGCGAGTAGGAGGTTCGAGAACGTGCTCCTGCTCTCCGTTGCTGATCCATACCAGGGAGAAGACACTGCGTAATCCAACCAGACTTGGGCTTCCGCATCGAGCATGTAGCAGCTCTCTCTGCTCCTTCCTTGATCATCCTCCCTCATGTGCCATGCAGGGCTTCGCCTTCACCAAGCCCTTGCCCAGGAACCTGCAGGAGCGAGAAAGGTTGCTGCAGTGGATGGGTGAGGAGCGCGTTACAAGGCCCAGCTGACCTCCAACAGGATCAGAGTACTTCGATCGCGACAGATGGCAGCAGCTCCGCCCTCTATGCTGGTACATCAGCTTCCTGTCGAGCCTGTTGGCCCCTCCCTCCTCTTGTCCCTCCCCTGCTCCCCGCCATCGCCCCCCCCCCCCCCCCCCCCCCCTCCGCTAAGTGTGCTTCCTTCCCTCTCCTCCCACTCATCCAGCTCGTGTACAGGGAGCTGGAGCTGGAAGACGCACGGGATGTGGTTGATCGCGAGCTTTGAGCATGTCGTATTGAGTCGAACAGCCAGGGGAAAACGAGGAACGCTAGAAGGCAGAATTGATGTTCCTCGGCATGTTGACGATGGAAACGCTTGAAAGAGATGTCAGACTTTCTCCCTCTCCCCTCCCTCCTCCCTCCTTCTCTACACTGGAGTACCTGCGCATGGACTTCGGGCAGCTGCTCGGTCGGAATGCTGGGCCAATTTCTACAGAAAGTGTGAAAAGCGGGAGCAGGCAGAGGCAGCAGGGGAGAGCTTACTCTTGATGTCTTCCTCCTTGCTCGCCTTCTTTTCGGCGCCTCCCTGCGGCAGGTACCTGGGGGGGGGGAGAGGTGACAAGCAATTGGATGAGGTGAGGAGCTACTCAGGAGGGGGATTGATGGTGGCGAAGATGCGACCCAAAGGCCCTGCAAGCATATCAGGAGAGTGTTGAAGGAGAACAAGGACGAGGAAGAAGAGGAAGAGCACAGGAAGAGGCGAGGGATCGGCGAGGACGAGAACGAGGAAGAACCTCGAATGGACTTGGAGACGCTGGTGGGGAACCATGGCTTGAGACCTTCGCCTGCTGCATTGCGCTTGCGCTGATGCAACGAGCATGTGAGCGAGGAGCGTTGGTGAGCCGCCAGAGAGAGAGAAGAGGAGCAGGAGGAAGCTTACATCTCTAGGCCCTTGAATTCCGTACTTAAAGTCGGAGAAAGTGACTTTACAGTCCTGAGGGGAGGAGACGATCAGGAGGAGGGGCCGGGGGTAGAGGGTGAGATACCTGAGTGAAGAGACCCTTCCTAGCAGGCGACGGGGGTTTGAATGGAGTGACCTGAAGGTTGTGAGTAAAGGAGGTAGTGGGTTGTTGGTTCGCTGTTTCTCACGTGCTCCTTCTTCTCTCTAGTTGGAGGGGGAGATGACTCGTAGTGATATTCGTTGGCAACCCCCTGGACGCCATTCCTGCAGGATATGACCGTGAGGAAGAGAAGCAAGAAAGAAGGAACGAGATCGGAAGCGGGGAGGGGGAGGGGGGAGGAGCAAGGAGGAAGACGACTCACTTGCAGCTGAGTAGCCCCTGATGTCCTTTCTTGGATGGACTCGTCAAGAAGTTTCTCGGCTCGAACTCCCTCGTCTCTCCTTTCTTCACCTGCCGCAAAGCCTTGGGCCCCCTCCTCCCCTCACCTTCTCTCCTTCTCACCGGCCGTTTGTCGTACTCGTCGGAAGTTTTGATGTTCTCGAACTTGCCGAAGGTCCCGAAGTACCCGCCCTTGCCCTCCATGTGCTGGCTGCCAAGTTGCGCGTGATGAATACACTAGGAGAAGAAGGGCACGAGGATCGAGAGGAAGAAACGAGTGTGGAGAGATTGGTAGACGGGAAGAAGGGGAAAGGAAGAGAATGATGACTACCTGGGAGTGGAGGGCTTGAAGGGAGCAGAGACTATCTGCCTTTGCTTCTTCTCCTTGTGATATCTATTGGACTAATTACAACCACTACCATAAAAATAACAAGTCTGAACAACAACACCAATTAAAGCATTTGGACAAAGTTGTCCTCCTCCTCCTCCTCCTCCTCCTCCTCCTCCTCCTCCTCCTCCTCCTCCTCCTCCTCCTCCTCCTCCTCATCATCATCATCAGCAGCAGCAGCAGCAGTCTGTGCTCACTTTCTGTCAAGGTCGAAGAGGGTCGTGTACTTGGCTCCAATGTACACGCTCGAGGCGACGGCAGGGTCGAAGTAGACGTCAGGTGTCTTGCCCTTCTTGTACCCGCCGACCTTAAACTGCTTCCCTTTGTACCTCGCGTCCCCTCGCGCCTTCTCCGAGGTCCCGTAGGGATCCCCTTGGTAGATGGAGGGCGTGTAGCTGCGCTGAGACTCAGACGCGGGGGTACAAAAGTCAACCATCACCCGAACAAGCCGAAAGAATTCTGATTGCTCGTCATGGCGGGTGCAGCTGACTAGACGCGAGGCTGAGCGATGAAGGAGAAGCAGCAATCTCTGAGCTGATGTGTTGGTGGTGACAGCCTCTTGTTCGTGTTTTCTTTGCTACCCCCAGCTATCCTTTTTCACTTTGTTTCCTACACAACCGATTTTCGTCAAATATCAGTCGTCCCCCCTCAACTCGTTCCCTTCCTCGCTATGTTCTCCCTCCTCCTGCCTATCGCTCTCTTCTTGGTCGTGTCTCTTCGCCCTCCCTCGTCCTCATCACCGTGCCCCACCAGCATGCTGTGCCCCATCGAGCCCTAAGGCTGTGACACTTGCCAGTACTTCCTCTCTCCCTCAGGTTCCATCCTTGTTCCTCCTTCCTCTGCCTTCTCCCAGCTCTCCCCTTCCTTTCCTCCCTCTCCTCTCTCTCCTCTCTCTCCTCCCTCTCCTATCCTCTCCTCGCCGTCGCACGTCGGTCGCCATATCTCAACGATCTTTCATCCCTTTTTTTTCTCCAGCCGTTGATCCCGGGCCCTCATCCCCAACCGCGTTCATCACTCGACGCCGCCCTGGACGCCGCCGCGACTTCGGCCCGGGCCTGGCGTTGCCCAGCCGGCCGCATCCGGTTGACACCGGACAGCCCCGGCGGTCGCCGGAAGCGCCCGGGATGGCCCTATCCGACCGTTGAATCCGAGGCTCGTGAGACAATGAGTAATCTGGGCCCGGGTAGATCCGAGTCTATGCCGGGTAAGGTCGGACTGTTAACTCGCTGCGGCCAGTCACTGCCAGTGAGGGCTCAGCGGGTGCCCAGTCGACTCCTGGGCCACAAACTTCGGAACGGCGACGTTGCCAATTTGCATGAAGCCTGAATCGGCTGACTGCCAGTTTGGCAAGAACTTGAACTGTGACATGCAAGAAGTATCTTCCTTAACTACTCGTGCTACTGTACAAGGTTACATGAAATTACAAGAGCTACGTCGACCCTCCCATCCGTCCACATGCGGCAAATCTTTCAGGGGCCTCACAGACACTGCAGCGAATCCGCAAGGCGAAGAACCTACAACAACCCTGTCAGGAGGAGGGGAGACCAAGAAAGAGAGGGTGTCGCGCTGGGAGAGGGCAAGCAGAAGCAAGAGGAGGAGAAGGCATTCACCAGTCCGAACTTGTTCACTCCCAACCTCTTCTCGACAGCGTCGTAGAACGTCTGAACCTGCAGCCCCATCAGCTTCCACCCCATCAATCGTCTCGGTGAGTTACCTCCCTCGCCAGCAGCTCTCTCAGCTGAACAAGGCCTGCTCCATCTACGCAGGCCTCTTGGAAGTACTCGGCACAATCGGCCAGCCCCACGCTCTTGAGCCAGTTACATACCTGCTCCTCCGTCAGGTCCCTCCTCCCCGTCTTCCTCCTCTCCCTCACCTGGCCCACATCCATCCGCCTGATTTCCTCCCTCGTCCGGCGATTGTCAGCGAAGCTCTTTGAGTTCTTTCCCCGTCCATGCCGCTGGAAGTCGATCATCTGTGCTATGTACTCCTGCAAGCCGCGAGGAGAGCGCGGGGGGAAGTGAAGAGGATCAACAGCTGGCGGGCGAGGAGAGATGGCGACTGAAGCTGAGGAGCACTTCCCATGCGACTTGCGCGTGTTGCTGCTTCTATCCGCTCGAGACGAACGCAAGTCGAATGTGTAAGAGGTGTGACCTTGAAGCAAAAAAGGTCATCGAGGAAACAAGAAACAAACAGAGAGAGGATGAGGATGAAGGAGCAGAAATCAACAAGGCTGGTCCTTACCTTGGTGTCTCGAGTGTCTTGTCTCCGCCTGCTGCTCCACATCATGCTGACCGCGCTCCTCCCAGGAGTCGTCGATTTCCTCTGCCCAAGGAGTGCAGAGAGAGACTCCGTCTGACCCCTCCCCCAACTCGTGGGTCCCAGCAGGTCTAGCATGGCTGTTCGGCTTCGCTTCCGCCTCTTGCCCGTGAACTTTATGAGGAGCGAAACGACGATCCAAAGCTCCCTCCCCTCCCTCGTGATATTCTGTACATTTCTCCTCCTCCTCCTGCCCCTTATGATTCGCCTCGTCGCAATCAGGGGAAGGATGTCTGAGCCTTACCTCTACTTTCTGACTCTCAATTTCCTCCGTTAAATCCCTTTCAGCTCTCTCATCCCTAACATTCTGCTCCTGTCGCATGCCCTCCGATTCTATCTCAGCTGATTCTTGATATTCCTGCCGCATATGACCATTTGGTGTCTCTACCTCAGCTGCTGTACAAATCTCTTCAGGATGTTCCACGTTTCTTTCTTGAGCTTCCTCCTCCTGTTCCTCGTAAACAATATCAACGTTCTGCTTATCGGTAATGCCATCTCCGTCATCCCTTTGCTCCTCAACATCTCCATCATCTTCACCAGGCAACATAGGAATGTCATCAAACATTTGTTGTTCCTCCCCCTCATTCGTCTCCAAACAGATCTCGAGATCTTTCACATGAGCCTCTCCTCCCTCATCTGTAACAGCAGTATGCCGATCGGCCGGAGCTGGAGACATGGCCTGCTCGAGGTACCGGGAGCGAAGATTTTTGATCTGGTCGGTGGCTAGAAGCTTCAGCTTCTCAAAGTTAGTTTCCCCCGCTGCTTTGTCATGAACAAGCCCGCTCTCTGACGACTGTGCTGATTTTCGTGGCCACAGATCTCTCGAGTACCAGAAAACATGATCATCGTCTCCCACAGCCTCCAGCCTGATGCCTCCTGCACTGAATCTCTCTCCATCTTCGTCCTTGGCTTCGTTGATGCCTTGTCGCTTGCTCCGCTTCTCCAAGGCTGCAGCTTTTCTCACACAGAGACTAGTCATGTTGTCGAAGATCATCCTGATCTGAGGATTCATGTCAGGGCCAAAGCTGTTCATCAAGGATAGCAAATGAGCGATCCATCGAACGTGATTCCACCCGAAAGGTCTTGACAAGTCACCTGCCTCAGCAGAACGGAGGCAAACGTTCAACAGCGCGTTGTACATGTTCGGATCAGGCGAAAGCTTCCAATCGTGGACAAGCTCAAGAACGGCCACACCAAAGTAGATACCCTCCATGTCACCTGCTGCTGCTGTCTTTGCACAAGTTGCAATCAGAGTGTCACAGGTCCCCTTGTCCGGATCCAATCCTAGTTCATGCATGATCCACAACATCTTGAAGGCTTGCTCCCTCGCTAGCGCGCCACCTGCAGACCCGGCAGCTTGAGCACATGCGGCGATAAGGTTGTTGAAGGTGATTACATCCGGCATGATCTTCTTTTCTGCCATCAGAACCAAGAACTCAAGTCCTTTCTCTACGCCAACCCAACCATCTCCAGCACCAGCGGCCCACGCGATACCATACATCAAGATGTTGAATGTGTCTACCGTTGGGGGCACTTCATACTCTGTCATCTTCTCGATAATCAATGCACCCAGTCTCAATCCATCGCCGGTGTTCTTTGACCATCCTCTCTTACCGCAGGCTTCCAGCATAGTATTGAATGTGTTCACGTCCGGCTTCACTTTGCTCTCACGCATCATGTCCAACACCTGAAGTCCCTTCTGGTATGGGTCAACACTCTCGGCTGCGGCGGAACAAGCCTCCATGAGCCGGTTATAGGTTGTTATGTCAGGCGCCACTTGTGCACGCGTCATGAGCTCCAGGACTGCAAACGTCTGCTCCAGCCCGTCGGAATCTGCAGTGGCAGCATCTCTAGCGTATGCAAGCATGAGCCCGTTGTAAGTCTCAGTGTCCAGCGAAGCTCCAGTCTCCACTCCCAACATTTGCATGTGCAGGAGGACAGCTTGTGCACAATCAGACCTTCCAATGTCAGCGAAGGCAAGCATGATATCAGAGCATTGCGGCTGGCTCACGTTTCTCAAGTCTGTTCGCACGAGCTCAAGGGCTTCTTCGCTCTTGCCATTCTGACACAGGTCTCGTACAGTCGCAACCAGGTCTTCCGCAGGCGGGAAATTTTGGATTGCTGAATAATCTTGATTCTCAACAACATCAAGTTCACCTTTCTGTTCGAAGTCCAGATCAGGCTCTCCGTCCTTCAACTGATCTAAGTTCTGTACAATAGCTTCAGGAGTGCACGCCGGGTCTTCGGGTGGCGATGCTCGCAATGGTCTCGTTGGGGCAACTTCGCTTGCGGGATCCGGGAATCCAACCTGTTCGTGACCGTCCTCAGAAATCTTCTCCTCCTGTACAGGCTGACGTGTCAGTTGGTCCTCATCTTGAGCTTCTGCTGATTTGTCGGAAGCAGGTGCGGGTGCAAGCTTTGCATTCGAATCGTTGTTGCCCCCGAAAAGACCAAGAAATCCATTACTGAAGATCTTCGATCTTTGTGCAGGCTGCAAAGCATCTTGAGACATTGAAGCATGCAGTTCCTCTCCGGCATTCTTCCGGACATATGGAGCGCTAGCAAATGCATAGACACTCATGCTCTGCCTTGGGTGGACAAAGTCATTCTCGGCTGAAGAGTAGGGTTTCGCGAAGTAATGATCCCTGAGTGAAGACGATCGCCGTCTAGTGGACTTGTGATCAAGAATATCATGCACCATTCGTGCTTTTGTCATGGTGGAAGATGTTGATGCTGGCTGGTGCTCGCTCAGTGTCTTGGTCAACAAGTTCACCATCAGAAGGCATGGAATAATGTACAATTTGCTGAAACGATTGCAACTCCTCCCTCTAGTGGCTCTGCGCGGGCCCATGGCAGCTATGGCTCCATGCTGAGGGCTTCGATGCGCTGGATTGTGGTCCATCAAGCTGCTCAAAGGTGTTTGAGTCGTGAGAGTTGTCGTTATAAAAATAATAGGTGATAAGATGAGCAGAGGAGCAGCTCAATTTGAAGTTTCTAGAAGTTCCATCCTCAACGACCGGATGTTTTGAAGCCTGCAGCAAGCAGAAGTCAAGAACGTCAAGTATATGATGTACATATATTGTTTCTCTCAAAGCTGAAAAACATAGTCGAAAGAAAATGAGAGAATTCGGGTGAGAGCATGGGTTTTGTAGATTACTAAGTTGTCGACAAATCATTGTTGCATAAATCTAATTCGTTTTCTGGCTAAATACACAGCACTACAACAGAAAAGAAAGTTTCCCAACTCCTTTAATCTCTCGAGAGCAAAAAAACGCTCTAAAAGCACAGTTTGCGAAAGACGCCCACCAAGACAGACAAGTTGCGGCAAATCAGCTTCAGGTAATCCCTGGCATAGCTATGGGGGCTGCACATCGCAAGGACATGTAGAGGGAAAGGACGGATACAAGGGGATGCAGACTACATCAACAGATGAGTAGGAGGGTGTGGGGGGAGAGGGGAGAGGGGAGAGGGGAGGAGGAGGAGGAGGCAGTGGAAGGGCTGACGAAAGCTGCGGCACCTGCACATGGCGAAGGCGGGGGAGGGGTCAGGAACTTGAATTTTTCAAATCGAAACCAGGTTAATGTTCAAATTTTAACAAATAGTTTGAAAGTATTGAAAAAATTGCAACAACCCCCTCTGTTACTCGAGGTATTTTCCTACATCCTAGCACCAGAGGTCCGAGGAACCCTACCTCACTAGAAGAATAGCACCCCTATCTCCTAGGCAAAGTCAGCTCATTACTTTACACCCTCCCTCTCTTTTCAACACATTCACCCACCCCCTACTGACGTTGACCACCCCACCCTCATCATTCTAGTGTGACTACCCCAGATTACGAGCTCAAGAAGATCATTTGCTAAGGACCCCTACCCCCCCTGCTAAAACACTTAAACATTGGGATTGGGATGCCATCATGGAGACTCGAACTGGCGAGGTTCCGGATAAGAAAAAGTGCAGGAGGTCAAAAAGGTTGGGGTGGTATACACCTTGACCAGCCGCCGAGTTACTCGATTGTAGTTTCAATATGTATATGAAGTACAATACTATTAGAATTGGGGAGTCTCCCCTGATCCACCACAGCACAGAGAAGAATGCTCACGGTTAGTCCCTGCTGTTCTGCAACTCCTCCAGCTCCTCCAGCTCCTCCTGCTGTCCTCCCTCCTCTTGTTCATCTCTGCACGTCACTCCTCTCCTCCTCTATAAACTTGTTCTTTACCGCCTCCCTTTCTCCCGTTCCGATCCATCTCTACTGCTGCTACACATGATTTTTCTTGTTTTTCTCACCTTTTCTTCTCAGAAGGAAAGTAGTTCGCTCCAGGCTAAGGAGCCAGCACCACCCCCGTCTAGGCAAATACTTTTGTTGTGGAGAAATATATTTGCTCATCAATGTTTACCTTCAATAGACCTGTAAATGCGATGAGAAAGGTGAAACCTTTCAACATCGATCACAGGGGTCCCCCAGCTCTCCATCCTCCTCCAAATTTTCGTCCTGTAGCAGACAAGGTGATCGGAATGCATGATTGATACCAGCTCTACTGTTTATTTGGTCTTTAACTCTTCATGCAGGAGGAGGAGCGTGAGGACAGGGTGGAGCAGCCTAGAGCGCCAGGCACCGCGAGCTGCGTTGAAAGATTGCACTGATGAATTCACAGGTGATGCTGACACCAGCATCTCTGATGTCCCCTACATTGGAAACTCATGTGATCTCTTGCATTCTTCCACACATCGAGATGCCGTAGTGACCTGAAATAACAACAGTGCTGCATGAGAGCGATTTGGTAGCCGAAGATGCTCAAGGTCATGTGTTCCACGGTATTCCTGCTCCTCCTGGGAAACCTCCAAGGCTGTACCGGCCTGTGCTGGAGCCCAAGGAGATTGAGGCTTTGAATCAAAACTTCTCAATCAAGCAGTTGATTTGAAAAATGTCTCAAGAAGTAGACTAGCATTACTCCTCGAGCTCGAGTTGCGCAGAGTGGGCCATCGAGTCAAATGACTTGATTGAAGAAAGTTGCAGATTGATCTGGAACAGGAAAGGAGCGTGTGAACATGTACAAGCTTGCAAATCTCACTTTATTTCCTTGCATGAGCGTACATGAATTCCGATTCAGCACGTAAGGAAAGTCCATGGTGAAATGGCATTTCAATGCCATATGAAGGATAGCACAAGGAAATGGGGGATAACAAAATGGCAGGGAACGGTAAGGTGGACAATCATATACAGTTGGTCGTCCGCATGCCGAAAGAATAGAAAACTAAGAACGTAATCTTGACAGCATCTGTCAAGACTATCTTCATATCGTTGGCCTCCTGTTACGCTCATGCTCACTTGCATGATGGTGGTCGTGGTCGGTGAAGTCATGTGCTGCTGCCCTAGAGCGAACCACGTGCGCATAAAACTTGTTTCCACTGCTCACATGTCGTCTCTGATTCTTGTAAAGGTTGCTGTCATAGCCAACCGCTGACGAGATTTGAGATTGCCTGTAAAGTTCTTCATTGTGAAGATCCAGCTCCCTCCAATAGCGCTCGACAGCAGCAAGCTCTTCGTAGTATTTGAGTTCACCCTGTGAAAACATCCCCGCTTGAGTATCTTCGTATTCAGGAGCACTAGAACATCTCGCAGGAATAGGAGGTTCTTGAGGAGCATGCTCCTTCGGAAAGCTCCTCGCCCGCATGAAAAAAGATTGCTTCGGATCCGGGGAAAGGGACCTGTCATGAACCGACCTTGACCTTCCTTTTCTCAGCATTGTCGAGATTCGCTGATCATCTTTAGATTGCCCATAAGTGGTCTTGAGCTTTGCATCGTCTTTTGCGAGAGAGATCTCCATTGTGCTCGCCGGAGAGCTCTCTGCCGGGGAGGCGGAGTTTGTTTCAGTTTCGACCGCACTTTCCTGGAGAGTTTTCCTCTGTTCTGGTTCTACAGACAACTTATCATCCGAAGACAACAAGACTGCATCAGAGGACAACTTGGTCACCGAAGCTGGTTTCGAGCTTGTAGTCGACCTCGAGGCCCTCAAGGGTGGGCTTGAAGGATGAAGTGGCGCAGGCACTTCGCTTGAAGGAATCGTAACACTAGGTAATGAAACAAAAGCATGGCTTCCATCAGCGATCTTAAATCGATCTCCATTTCCCATGGAAGTTTCGTCGTCCACTTGAGATTGGTGGTTGGTCATGGATATCTTCGGATCCGAAATCCAACTCAGAAGCGATCAGGTTGAAGGTTTGTTCGAGGGGGAAGGCGATTTGTAAAGAGACAGGGAGATGAAGGAACGGGGGGAGATGGAGGCTAGCAATGCTGGCAAGGAGAGTGGGTTCTTTGGGTGGAGGGAGGTGCGGGGAAAGGGGGCGAGGAGGACGAGGAGGAGTCGGTGGTTGTGTTGTGACATGACAGGATCTTTTCTATCGCTGCCGGAGGAGTACTGACCGGAATCTGGACATTTTTCATGATCGCGGTTCCTGTGCTTGTATAACTTACTGCCTGGTTGAATCTGCTTGTAGATTTCGCCTTGCCGTCCTTGCTTGAACCGGTTAGGCCGGAAGGTCTTCGGAAAAGGGCACCAGGTCGTTAGGTAGACTCTGCATCCTCTTGTGTTGCACGCTTGACAGCTTCTGTCAGCCCCTACGGACCAGCTGGGGACGGCGACGAGATGGAGCCGCTCCGCAATGTCGAAGAGTGAATGACGTCAGACTCTGTTTCTGCTCAACTTCAGCTGGACTCAGCAAGCCATAGCCAATGAATCCATCGATCACTTGTAACTTTCAGAGCTCTTGACCCTGTCGACTATCACAAGAGGAGCTGGCATTGAGCTGGCTGCAGCGAAACCTATAGCAAGGTTAGCAAGTTCAGTGAGAGGGGGAGGAAGAAATTTACAGACACTGCCGACGGCGTGCTTGTTCGGGGCCGTCTGCCAACATGTAAGAAGCGCGGCCATAATGACCGCCGATCAGATTTTGAAGCAAGTGGATAGAATCGAAGTAGCAACGCAAGCGAAGAAAAATTAGCAGAGGGAGTGCAGAAGGATCCTAGAAGCGCGTGGAGGATACGGAACCGCAAAAGAGAGGCAGGAGGAAGGAAGTCTAGACCAAACCTTGTCTGCTGGTCGATAGAACCAGGAAGCGAGTCGCTGCCACTGGCCACCTGCAGCAGGATGAGACACAAGAAGAGGGATAAGAAGACAAGCAGGTCGGTGCCAATCTTAAGTGAAAGCACGAAAAAACAATAGGAAAGGACATGTAGAAACAAGGAAGAAAATTGCAGAGAGGGGCGGAGAGAGATGCTTCGTGAAACGTCAAATGATCAACCTGAATCCTTTCGTTCATCATAAGAAGTTCCATGTGATCCCATCACGAGCAGATGGCACCTGCCACCTCGCATGATCTCCTCGCCCGTTCATTGCTTAACGTCTCACTTGTTCTTCTCTGTAAGCAGGGCAAGCTCGCTTGCTGGGTCCCCACGCGCGAGTATTTGAATGCAGGACACCTTTTTCTGCTCGAGCCTTTTGGCAAATCGCTTCAAGACCTGGAAAACTGATTGAACCAACTTGTACTTCATGGGAGCGAGGGGAGTAAGGAATGACGCGGAGCAAGAGCACGAGCACGAGAAAGACGATCGGAGTAGGGAGTCGAAGAGAAGAAAGGAGGTAACAACAACAAAGCGCTCACGCTCGTGCCAGTGGATTTTGCTTTGTCCTCGAGCGCCTTTCGCTTAGGATTAAGTTGAGAATTGCCCACGTGGACATTACCTGAAAGGTTTTCTCTGCTCCATACCCTGCGCCAGGGTTGAACTGGAGCGGCTGACAATGGAAGAGAAGGATGACGTCTCCTTGCCTATAGCTGGAGAACATGCAAGGGGGGAGGAAGCAAAACCGTAAATAAACGGCAAAGGGGAAGGAGCAGGAGCAGGAGAAGCATGATGGGAGGATTGAGTAACAAGATGAGCACCAGTGCTTGACGGCCCACATCAGAGCAACTTTTGAGGAGGTTGAGCCATCAACTGCCACTGCAATCCGTCTAGCAGGAGACAAATAAGATCCCATCTCATGACTCGTACTGTCACCTTGCACTATCCCGTCGACCTCGAGCAGAATCTGTCGAGTTTCGGTTTGAATCTTCAAGGTTGTCCACTCCTTTCCCACTTTCTGCTATGAAAACTTTCTCTTCCGAAAGTCTTGAAGGTGCTGAAAACACGACAATGACAACCAAATTTTGCATTCATCAAACAAGACCTTGCTGGACTCCAGCTGAACTTTCGCAATTTGAAGCAGCGACTTCTCTTTCAGATCGATTTGACTGCAGGCACGACAATCATGGGACTGACCCAGACAAGTAGAAAGGAAACTTCATGTTACATGAGAAGGAATCCTGCTCCTCAGTCAGAACATGTGGCTGCATTTCTCAATTCTACCTGTGAACGATGAGAGGGCAATCGATCCTCTACAAATTAAACGAAAAGTCAGAAAAAAGGGTAGTGAAAAGGGTAGTGGTGGTGGTGGTGGTGGTGGCGACGACGACGACGAGAATGATGATGATGATGATGATGATGATGATGATGATGATGATGATGATGATACTGCAGCGAGGGAGTTGTAATATTATAATGTGGCAGATCAACGTGTACGACCATCCATGTGCGCACCTGCAGCACAAATTTGGTTGTTTGAGGGAGAAGTGCTCGCTGTAGCGTATTGAGATTTCTTGCTCCAATAACTGCCTCTTAACAAGTTACATACGTTTGATAAGGCTCAAAACAATGAAGTTCAGAGAGTTCATCAGGCACATAAAGATTGAGAGGGTGGACCAGCAACGTCGCAGTCTTGTGCATTGATAGTCTCAACGAGCGTTGGCCCCACATCTCCTCGGGCCAGAACCGCCTGGATGGCTTTAGAGTCTGTTTTTGTCTCCGCCTCATACCGTGAAGGACACTTCATGCTGCTCACACATGCGTATGGCTGCCTCGAACCTCCGCCAGGGAGTTCCTCTCAGTTGTGATCCTACAAGCAACATCACCTCGCCATGTCTACGCACATTCCTTCATCACTGTTCGGCGATCTGTCAAGACACACGTGAGCATGGCAGCTGAATAGAAAGCGCTCACTTCACCTGCCTGCAGCTTCATGCCCTCGATGAAGATCCTGCGCCCCACGCGTCATACGTTGCAAGCGAGGACCTTGCTCTACCTTCCATGGCATGCATGCATCCGATGCATTCGCTGATGCGTCTTGAACCTCGTCGTCCACTTCGCTCAGTTTGATGATGTGAATCAACACCAGCAAGTCATCGCGGGTCGCGAACTTCTTGATACACCACAAAAGCGCCTAAAGTAGCAGACCGTCGGACAGAAGAAGACGAAGGAGAAGGAGAAGGAGAAGGAGAAGGAGAAGGAGAAGGAGAAGGAGAAGGAGAAGGAGGGCTGGAGGATTGATGGATTGAAATGAGTTCACGGGAAACACCTGGTCTGATTCTTCACTTCTGTCGTATGCAATCGCAATTCTTCGTTGTTTGTTCATGGCAACATTCGTTATTATCTTCCTTGTATCAGTACGTTTTCAGGTAGCGAACCCTCATGAATGAACCTGAGTAAAGAATGACATTAAACTGATTGAAAACTCCGACGAGACCTATTCATTCCCCGCTGACCTAGCCGACTGTCATGTTTCGAGGTTTGTTCTCATTTGCAACTTCTTCCCTCGATGATTCACTTGTTCTTTTCAATCCTCCCTCTTCATCTGTCTCATTCTCCTCCTGATCCTCCTCTTTTTTTCATCAGGACACTCTCAGGTCCTCTCCTTCTCTCCTCCTCCTTCTCCTCCTCCTCCTCCTCCTCCTCCTCTTGCCCTATCGCAGTTCTTCACTTTACATGCGCATCCGCCACCGGTGAGCACCACCCCCTAGACAAAAAGACTTAATACAACCCCCTACCATCCCTTTGAGGGGATACCACCCGAATAGTTCCACCACCCCCACCCCATCCTGTAGACTTGAGTAAAAAACGTGCACAATGCGACCAAATATACTTCGGAGCGCAGGAGGGAACGAGCGAGAGGGCGAGAGGGCGAGAGGGCGAGAGGGCGAGAGGGCGAGAGGGTGGGAGGGCGAGAGGGTGGGAGGGCGAGAGGGCGAGAGGGCGAGAGGGCGAGAGGGCGAGAGGGCGAGAGGGTGGGAGGGCGAGAGAGCAAGAGAGCAAGAGAGCAAGAGAGCGATATGAGGAGTGCAGGATACAAGGAGGGAATGATTCAAGGAGAGAAGGATACAAATAAAGAACGCATCATGTCTAAATAGCAGCATGTGATTATCAGTATCGTGATGAGCTTTTGTATGCTCTAGATTGGGCCAACGCAATCATGTCGTCATCTGCTGTGCTGATGAAGAGGAGCATCGCCCATCCAGCGTTTGTATCGCATACGAGCATCTCTCAAGCTGCACGAAAAAGCATGCGTCTTCCTTTGAATGTTTTCTACGCATCTTTGATCTCAAGGTTTCATAGCAGCAAGCCTATCCCCCCTCGGTTGGGTCGGACAATGACATGTCAGAGGATGGTAAACGAGGATTGCTTTGGAGGGACAAAAGGATTTCCTCTCCAGCCATTTTTCCCTGTTGACGACGAAAATTTCAAGACTGTGTGGATTCGATATTTTTACGAAGGCGGCAAATTGACAAGGTAATAATGTTCAGACAATGAAAAAGGTGAAAATGCTCCCAGAGATGGAAAGCTCCTGCACATTCAGGTGGACTTGAAAGCTACAGGAGGGCGAGTCACTGGCGATTCGATCCTTGAGCTGTTGCGAACTGATGGCGTGGAAGTGGATCAGTTGGATGTGCGCGTGTACGACACCGAGCAATTAGGATGGACAACCTTGAGGAAGGATGTTACCTTTGACGCGCTTTCAAGCCCCCCGAGGAGGATTGACATTCAGGTGATTAGAGGACAGGGGCAGGAGCAGCAGGATGCAACTGATTAGCTCCCTCCAGATTTTTCGTCAACCGTATGCAGAGTCTCTTGTCAAAGAACAGGAAGACGGATACTTTATGTGCGGGGTGATGGGCATGAAAAATGTGGACAACCTGGGGACACTCTGGCGATCATGTAGATGATGAGGGTTTTGATCCTTCTGAACGCTTGCAGGCTATCAGCTCGGAGCCGCCAGCATGTTCTTGATAGGTCAAGAAATGGAACTGAAGCGGGTCAGGGACTGAGCTGAGCTTCAGGAGATAGATTTTCAAGCCATCGCACAGACGTAGTCAAGTCTTTCACAAAGATCCCCATGGTCGAGTATCCAGGTACGTTGGTGTCTTACCGTCGCTCGCTTACCTTGCATAGACTGGAATTCCTTTGTGGCCTGCAGTGCGTACGGTGCCAAGTGGGTGGCGGTGGAGGTAGAGAAAGATGCGTGAGGTTGCTCGTCTCACTGTCAATCAGATGGGAGGAGAACCTCTCGAAACCTTTGAACATCCGTAATACTCATGAACTTTCGGACTTGTTGAGGCTGAGCTATGTGGACATGTTGATTTGGAGCGACAGGAAGCGGGCGATCTACATCTTAGGGAGCGAAGATAATGGTGAGAGGTCGAGAATGGAGAGTGTCTCGGGCTTGATTGAAGCACAGGGCTGCCGGAGTCTGTGATCCGCTCCTGTCACTCTCACGTTGCTCTGCCATCCATCCGGTTCGTACTCCGCCCTCACAAGTTTCCGGCTGACTTCATGCAGATATGCTTCCTTCAACGTCGCGGTAGCGGTTGGTATCGCTTTCTCCTTGTGCGGCACTCATGTTGGCCCAGGGGTCGATCGTCATGTACGATCGCATCATGAAGCAGGCGCTGGAGGCTCAGAAGCAGCAGAAACGCACGTGAAAGGGAAGAAGGAAGTGTTTAAAGTACAACTAGAGCCGCCAGCTCCTCTATCTAGTAGAGTCTCCCGACAGTCTCACCGTACGGCAAAGCTGTTCCCCTTCGCACATCTCGCTCGTACCTCCTGACATCAGCTTCTGTCTGTTTGCCCCCATACGCCCGCTGCTCATAGAAGGGAAGCGCACTCTCATCTGTCTGATCCTGCGAAAGAGGTCAAAGATTGAGAGAGAAGGAAAAGCTGGATGACGCGAACCTTGGAACGGAGGAGCGACGAAGCAGCTTTTGTGGCCTGGTCGAGCTTGTACCTCATCTCAGCTGCGACCTGAGTGGATGTAAACCGCTACACCAGCACCTCATAAATCAACCTCAGCGCCATGATAGGCAGCGGCGTCGGAATTCTTCAGCTCCTGCCTCAGCCTCTGGATTTTTCTGCGCGCACCCAACAGTTGCTTCTGCAAGTCCTGCACCAGAGTAAGTGAGGCCCTTTCAACGGCCATGATTTGCAACCTGAACGCCATCGGAGAACCCTGAGGCGACTTGCTCGCTCTTTCCAGGGAACGGCTCCCGCGCAACCCACGCGTCGTCCGACTCCTCAGGCACATAGGCTCCAAGACCCTGAGAGGCAAGATGTTAGAAGGTCAATCGCTCCATCGATTCAAAGTGCCTGACGGATGGCCATCTGGTTGGTCGCCTCGAGGGCAGCGACACGCTCACGAAGAATCGCATTCGATCTCGCCACCGCCTCTGACGCTTTCTTGATCTCTTCGTTCTTCTCTACGACTTCGGACAGCTCCCTGTTACAGGGTCAGAGAATGGACATCACAGAGAGAGAGCTAGACCTGTCGGAGGCAGTAAGGGAAGACCATGGCTTGCGGATTTGATCGTGCTGCGGACACTCCTTGCACTCCGCACTTTGACACTCGCAGGGGACGCGAGCCAACTTGTTCACCACCGACCTCAGGATAGAAGGAGATGGCGCCTTTGTAGAGCTCGGTTCTTCTTTCTTGTTTTCATCGTCGACTCCCAGGCATATGATCTCACAGCAGTCCTCGCATCCCATGATCTTGACGCAGAGCTGGCAGCTCTGTGTTCTCTCCTCTGACGGGGGTTTGATCTCAAGGCTTTGAGCCTTGTCGGCCTTGATCGCTCTCGCCATAATCTTCACAAACACTTCGGCCAATGGTCGGACTTCGGAAAGATCGAACTGGCGCCTTTGAGCAGCATGCAGAATTTGTCCAGGATTATTTTTGATGTCGCCAAGCGACATGGAGTTGTCCTCATCGGCTCGCCGGGCGTTTTGTTTGTTTTCCATTTCTGTCTTCTTGTCCAACTTGTCAAAGTATTTGTTCAAATCGTTTGCTGCCTTTTCAGCGGATTCATAATGCTTTGAGGATGCATGGTTTTGTGGTAGATTCATGGATCTCAGCATCGTCTTCGATGTTGCCCTCATGTGCATCTTGTCATTCACTTGCTTCCTGTACTCTGCATTTGCTGTGTCAGCCCAGACGTGTTTTTCAATTTTCTTCAGCGCAGACTCTCCTTGAGAGAGGATTCCTTCAAGCTCTTTGTCATCCGCTGACTTCTCGCCCTTGACTTGACGAAGAGCTTTCTTGAGACTGCTCAGTTGCTTGTATGCATGCGAAAGAAAGGCCTCCATCTTCGACTCCTCGCCCTTGCCGACGTGCGCGAGTTGATAGGAGTACGGAGTATCGGTAGGGAGCACCTCATCAATGCCCTTCCATGCTTCATCCTTGTCGTACCAGATCCCGTTCACAGTCTGCTGGTCCATCTTGGAAGCAGCAACATCACGATAATGATGCTTAGACCACTCGTGCGCTGGCACGTCGGCAAGGATGGTAGTTCGAGCCTTGAGTGATGGGTGTGCAGTCGGTGCTCTGTTCCTCAAATGAGAACCAGGAGAGCTGAAGTATCTGCTGATTCCTTGCAGATCACTTGATGCACTTGAGTCCCATTGTACGGGCACGTCGGAGTCGAAAGGTTGATTGAATCCCAGCAAAGCATTCTTGTTTACGTGCGAGGACATCAAAAGAAGCCCAATCACAGCCATTGTCAGAATGGAGACCAGAAGAACATTTCTCCTCATCTTCTCCTTCTTGATGAGAGGAATGCTCAGATCAGCTATTCCTGACATTGCAAGCCTGTGCTTCAAGTCAGTTCAAGCCAGCGCCTTCGCCTTCACATATTCTTGTCATTCCATAACCTTCCTCGTGACATGATATTTGATCACATTAGAAACTAAATTTCAATAGCAACATATCGAAATTTCATGAACTGTAATTCAACGTCCGTCGTTGTTCTCTCAGATTTATTTGGACCATGCTTTCAACTATGTCATATTCTACTTGGTTCCTAAAACTTCTCATATTTCTCTCCACCTTCCATCTCTAATCTGTCTATCATCTTTCTCTGATCTGTCTATCATCTGTCTATCATCTGTATCTAATATCTCATCTGTCTCTGACTTGTTCCTTCCCTCTCTGTTTGCTGTCAGCATGAAGGGACAGACAGTTACGGTAGTTACATTGGTGAATTTGTCCGTTACAACGGGCAAAGGCCCGGGTCAGTCTGATCGGGCTGATGAATTTTACTCATCAGAGTTAAGTGATCATAAGGGTACTCTTGATACACCCTGATGACCGGGGTAAACCTTGCGCTACTGCTCTTCTCAGTCAAAATCGAACTCGCCTGGTAGGCGAGTTCACTGAGGGGTATTCAATGGCAGGTCAAACGAGTTCCCGATTCCTTCATACGTTCACATCTCTGCAAGACGAACCGCGAAAACCCTCGTCGCATATGCAGAAGCCATCGAGACAGAATCCGTTGTCATTGCAGTCGTCCATGCAAGCCCCGACCTGCAGGTTCCATTCTCTGATGCTGGCAACCATGAACTCTGATCCGGTGGACGCCGTGAAGCCAACCCAAGCTGTGCCTTGAGGAGGGTACGCAAGGAAGGACATGAGGTTCAGCGCAGTCACAAGGACCGGCCGGTCAAAATCGTCGATCCACACTGTCAGCGACCCCAAGTCTCGTCGAGGACTAGAGGAGAGGAAGCGTGCTCCGTACTGCGACACCTTGAAGCATGGGTCCTTGAGGTAAGAGCTTGGTATGGAGTGATCGTACCGTATCCTCACGTGATGCTCGTTGCCATCGAAGAGGATCGGGAGCTGCGGAGTCTGTGCGATGGAGAAAGTGTGAGCTGCTGAGTTGGGCTCGCTTCCTCGGCTGTGAATCGAGATGTGATTTTGTCCAGCGTCTCCCAGCTGGGGGTTGACGGTCACGTCGAACTCGATCGCCAATGACTTGCGGAGACCTCCATACCCCAGCTGAGCTCCTCCATCGCCATACGCAGGCATGCCATCGCCCCCTCCAACCAGCATGAAAGCGAAGCCCTCGCCTCGCCTCAACGTGCAGTACTCGTTGCTGTTTGTTCCGTAGTTCCACGAGTTACAGACGGAAGAGAAACTGTGGAGAAGAAAGCGAAAGTCCATCACAAAGCCCTGTGCCACGCGCTGGGGGATTGAGTACCAAACAGCTCCGATGCTGTTATTGGACGGAGACGTGAGGTCGAGAGTGCTGCTGTTCTGATTGATGTTGGCGCTGCTTAGTAACTGAAGACCGACTGGTCGAGAGAAGCTCAAGAACTGGAAGCCTTGCACCACAAACAACTCGAAGGGGCTGTTGTTCACGTCATAGCCGTTGATAGATAGCGAGAACGAGTATTTCCCAGTCACCGTCAAGAAGTACTCGACATGATATGTACCGTTGTGACGGTCAACCACAGATACAGGGTAGCCTTTCCCCAACGGTCCTTCCGCTGCTGTAGCGCGGGTAGTGAGAGGTCCTTGGATCCAGCCTGATACGTGGTCGCCTCCTTGAATCCTCGCATTGCCCCAGGCATCCCTGCTGGTGAGGATAAGAGTGCCAGGGAGTCCCGCATGAAGCTCGCTTGTTTGGCCTTGGCAGGAGCACCTGATACAAGCGAAGCGTGAGCAAGCGGACGAGCTAGGATCAGGAAAGAGCCATGGAGGAGGGAGGGAGATAAAATAATAACAGATATCAAGTACATGTTGGGTACGGCAACTCCTCCTACGATGGTGACGCTGAAAGGCGAGTGTCTGATATGGGTCCAGGTGCCGTCAGGCTTCTTGTACACGATGGATAAGAGGTGTTGTCCAGCGTTCGTCACATTGTAACTCCCAGAGTACAAGTTGGACTTGTCGATTTGAAAGCTCTGCTCCTGCATGTTTGCAGGGCTGACAGGGTCGACGAACATAACAGTGAAGGACCCAAGAAAGGCCATGGCACAGGACGAGGTCGCATGGACTTGGATCCCAGCTATCCCCGTACTCGGGTCCAAGCAGGAAGGTTCTTGTCCGAAGCTTGTTTTGACAGAATCAACGGGAACACAGTTGGCCAGGAGGCCTTGCAAGTGGCAGGAGGGACCCTCGTCTTCCTCTAGAATCCTCCGGTTGCCCCACGCGTCTCGCACCTCGATCGACAGCGTGCAGAGAGTTCCTGCTCCGCAAGTCTGCAAAGCGCTACCAAAGGCTGTGCTGTCCGGAATGCTTACAGGCCCAGGCCTCACACGCAGGCGGTAAGGAGAGGATGCGATAACCTCGCCGTCGAAGAGTATGTGAAGCTGAAAGTCTCCTGCTGTAGTCACGATGTAGTCGGATCGCACGAGCCCATCGCCGTAATCCTGCACTACAAGAGGAGAAAAGTTGGCCTCCCAGACGACGACGGAGGACATGCCGATGACAGCATCGAAGAACTCAACGACCATGGGCTGAATGGTGAGGTTGAGGAGGCGCTGAGGGGTCTCATATCCATCCATCTTGGGGCTCTGCATCCGAAGTTTCCGGTCTTCTTGCGCCCCTTGCTGAGTTGACCAGAGGGAGTTGCCGTTCATGTCTCGAAGCAGCAAGTCCAACGAGGATGTCGCACCGGCGATGACGGACTGCAAGTCTGTGTATGCTACACCACGATCGTTCACCCCAACTGATGGGGGATGTATGGGCCCGGGCTTGACCATGGTATCGTACCTGCGGCAGTCACGAGTCATGCATACGCCAGCACACAAAAGAGCATACGGGCTGCCATGGATCAGGTAGCCATTGTCATTGACGATGGAGATCTGATACAGCCCCGAAGTAGTGTGAAAGTAAGTGGCCATGTAAGTTCCGTTGTCGAAGTCTTGGAAGACAGCATGATCCTGTGAGGAACGATATCCCTGCACCGACTCCCATGCCGGCAGAGCGTCTGAAAAGCTCCACAACTGATGCTCCTGCGGGAGACCGCAAGGAAGATCAGGTGTGATGATGCCATATTCTCTTCCCAGCTTCTCAAGCACAGGACAACCTGCCCCCGCAAACCTGAAGAAGTTTGTCAACACGTTGACGAGCGTCCATGAGGAACACGATGGTGAGTCCATCGCGTTGTTGACGCATCTGTCTAGCGAAGCGCACATCTTCTGACGTGGAGGTCCACAGCAGTCCGCGGGCAAACATGAGACATTGTTCATGTTGTACAAGCAGCAGATGTCTCTGCTCAAAGCTATCACGTTCCACGCGATTTCAGGGAATTTTTCTCGGTTGCAAGTGCCGAGGGTGAGGTCATAGATGCCGACAATGGTGTCGTCGGAACATTTGCAGGTAATGTCGTGGAGGATCTTGTCTTGAATGTGCGGACAAGATCCGAGATCGAGCCCAGTCACTTTGAAAGTCCATTTCTCACCTCCTTTGCTCCTCTCGTTCCCATACCTGTCGCGATCGACGAATCTGAAATATCTGCCAGCGTTCCCGTCGGTTGCGATCATGACGCCGCTCTCAAAACTCTGTTTCTCGCCATCCAGCAGAGGGCCCAGCAAAACTCCTCCTTCCACCCACGTCGACGGAGGATGGCTCTCGGCTGCGTGGATGTAGAGGGAGAAGGGAGAGGATGGAACGTGGAGGAGGGAAGCAAGAATCCCCGTGGCAGTCTAGGGCAAAGAAGAGAGCAACAGGTCAAATATAGTCAGTGTTTCTTCTCTTGCGTGTTGGTGAGACTCACTGGAAGTTTCTGGTTGACCATGACAGAGACCTGATGCCAGCCCTTCGTTGTTGCAATCCATTCGATCATGGTATCCGACGGAAACTTTTCACCTCCAAGGATATGAGTGGTTGCCGTTACCTGCAGGTGGAGTGAGGGACAAGATTTACGTTTGAAGAAAAATGGAGCAAAAGAAAAGAATTATGTAAAGTAGACGGAGCAAATAGAAACGAGTTGAGAGAATCGAAGGAAAGTGAGACAGAGAGAGAATCTAAGTAACAGCTTGAGCCACCTTGATCGACTTGTTGTACGATTGAACTTGGTCTGCTAAATCTTCAAACGGATCGCCCCGATATTTCTGCGAATAGTCTTCTCCACTGACAAGGTGTCATGTTTTGTTTCCACGTCAAACAAGTATTGAGAACTTACGAGGCTGCTAAGTTGGACAATAGAGAAGTGGACGAAGGCGTTCTGATGTCAAACACAACTTCTTCTAGTTGGCTCACAGGGTTTCCCCACAGGTCATTCATGCGCAGAAAGAGAACGGAGGCGTATCCAGCTTGAGCGTATAGGAGAGCCGTTCCGAACACCTCAAGATGACAGGTTCAGCTCTTCTGCTGCTGAGATATCAGCTGAAGACGTGATAACAACCTGTGCGGACTTCACGTCGGGAGCTCCACTGGAGGTCAGGACGTTGAACGGGCTGCTTACCTGTGACCTTCATGTCAGCCTCGCCCTCTCTCAAGACCCTCCTCCACCTTTGCTGGACAATCAAGAGAGCAGGGGTAGCGAGCGACCATATCACTCCATTGCGCTGCTGTCCCAATGTGCTTCCCTCCTACTTAGCCCGTGAGCTCAGCGGGGGGTGACGCCTTCCTCACCTAGAGTGATTGACAACCAATATCGACCTGAGCAGGTCGTCTGCCACCTTACAAGGTAAGTCCCGTTGCCAAGGTTTGCGATGAGGCCGGAGGCACATGCTTCCCTCCCCCTAATCTTCACGTTGTCTTCCTCTCCTCCAACCTCAACGCTCCTCCTCAATAGCTCAGAACTTTCCCCCTCCTGCGAGCTTCTTATGAATGTCTCTGCATCGCCGTATCCCGGGAGGAAGATGTCAAATTTTACAGACCAATCGTCTCCGCCTGACAACCGAGGGTTGTTGTACTTGTCGACGCTGGTGATATGGAAAAATGTGCTGCTCCCTGCTGTGCAGGCTCCCACCTGGTTGGCGGAGCTAAGGCCAGGGCTGCACAAAGACATGCTTGTGTCAGGAGTACGAGAGGACATCAAGACAGGTGCCTTCAGAAGATAAAGGAATCACCACAGGGGAACTTACCCGTACGCGAAGCTCTTGGATGGATCAGTGTCCCCTGCGTACACAATAACCGAGTAGGAGGCAGGCCCTCGCAGGTCATCGTTGGGCATAGGGACCATCTCAATAATGGAGTCGCAGAGGTAGATCGGTTTGCCCGTCGACGAGTATCCAGTCGGCTTTGGAGGACAAACTTCTCCTGTCTTGGTCAGCAACCAGAAAGACCACTTGTAGATGCCAGGAACTGACACAAAGAAGGACAAAGAACATTCAGTCTGACTGGTCGAGACAAGTTGGATGTTTGCGTTGAGCCAATCAGACCCGATGGCTTGCGCTGCAGTTATGTTCTCAAAGTACGACGTGTTGGGATCGAGCAGCGGAGCAGACAAATTCTGCAAACGAGTGAGGGAGAAGACGTAAGGAAAATATGGAGCTCACAGCGACAAACTTTGGCACCGCAACATCACTGACGCGAACCTTGAGTCCCTGGTAGTCAGGGGAGGATGGGAAACATCCTTGTATCGAAGGGACCCAAGAATGCTGGGGTGGGCAAACTGGAGGCATGTGTACCAAATCTGGATGAGTTGACAAAAACTTTTCGATGTCTCGATTGGTCAGATCAAAAACGCTCTTGTCCTTGCCTGGCCAGCTCACTGAGCTCGCAGCTTCAACGCTGCACGTGCTGTAGGCATCGAAGGAAGAACCCGTCTGCCGCTTTGCCGCATCAATCCACTTGTTGTAGTTGACGCAGTTGACGTCAAGGCAGGCTCCTTCAGCGACGTTGTTGTAGGCTAGGTTCTGACCCGTGAGCGAAGCCTTGAAGTTGAGAATCCAAGACTCTTCGATCACGGACGTATACATGCAACGAAACCCTTTACTTCCATACGCCCAATCGCTCTGAAACTGAACTGTCAAACCTTTCTCAGAGGGGGAAGAAACAATCTGGGGTAGTATCATCCTTCCAGAACTATCTTGTCTAGGGTACTGTCCGGTGAAGGATGCAATGAGATCTGATTTGTTTGTGCTCTGCCCTTCGTACACAAATACCCAGTCAAATCCATCTTCGAGATTAATTTCATAGAACAACAACACCGTCGGGAAAGTGAAATAGTTCTCGGGCGAATCTCTTGGCGAAGAGATATACCAGATGCAGTTCAATGAAGGAGCATAATTCATCCCGTAATAACCATCAGTGAAGGAGCCAGCGCTGTCTGCCAGGTGTACCACCGCATTGTTACATGGCTGGTCTGGTTCACTGCAGTTGAACCCTGACCAACCGGAGTAACACACACAAAGGCCATACTGGGTGTTGCATTCCCCATGACCATTGCATGGTGCTTTGTTTGTGAACGGATCATCTGGGGAGCAAGTTCCTGTATTTGCGACTTGAAGCTGAATGGAGAGCACGACTAACGAGAGGACATGCAGAAACGAGCTGAGAGGCATCGCGCGCTTATGATAAGTGACGAGAAAGCATTTCTCACGTCATAATCTCTTCTCTCGCGCAATCAATTCTTGATCGTCTCATTTGCTGGCGAATCGATATCTTATTTGGAAAATTCTCGTGATGTTCTTATGGTGAACATCAGCCATGGTTGCCTGTATTCTACGGACCAGGACCATTCTTCGCCTCTCAACAACTGGTCTGGTCTGGTCTGGTCTGGTCTGGTCTGACTATCCTCGCTGACACCTGTTCATGCCTGCCCTGCCATTCGCTTTCCCTTCACTTGTCAAGTACGAGCAGTTTTATCGCCTGATACCACCCCTACCCCCTTAGCTTCACAAAGTCAGTAAACAAACCCCCTCTAAACCCCCTCTAAATTCTCAATGGGGCCTTTATAAAGGATTCAAGAGGACACCATCGGAAAGTAGAGGAGGTGGAGGAGGAGGAGGAGGAGAAAGAGAAGCGGCAGAGAAAGCAAGGACAAGAGTATGGCGAGTTTAGAGGAACGAAGGAGACGTAGTGAGACCAGAGAAGTAGCCTAAGGATAGAGGAAGAGATGAGATGATCATAACAGATCCCACGGGTAGCATCATACAAACTGACCTCGTATGCACAGATGGGGTCTTCATTGCTGTCATGTGAAGTTATTCAATGCGTATTGCTCATCACCTTCTGGACCCAACGGAGCGATGCATTTGTTGGTTGCTCCCTGCCGTCACAGAGCGACAAGAGTGGGAGAAGTTCGGTTGCATGTAAGCTTAGAATGGAATTCAATCCATCTTGCGATCTATTGCAGAGGAAAACGTTAGTGAAGACGTTGGGCATACTTCCTTTGATGATCCCTTCGTTTCTCTTTCCCTCCGAAGGATATGCTCAGTCAGCGGGAAAGATCTCAGTCACTGACAAGAAGGAGATGCTGAAATTGAAGGTGAAACTAATCTGCTTTCAGCATGCACCATCTTGCAGCAGCGTGATATGCCATATCAGGTTGGGTTGAAGGGACTGGAATATCTGATCAGCAAGTGAGGGGAGAACTGATTGTCTTGCCGCTAACTCGATGTAGATGGGATGACGAGACGACTCAGTGCAACTATGCAGAGGTGACTTCGATATGCTGAGAGAAACGAGGCAACATTGTGATGAAAAATTCGTCAGCTCTCTAGAGATCTTCTTTCTTCCAAGAACAAGGCAGAGTTGCTGGACGCAGCCAAAACCAATGCGCTCTTCGACAAAGACAACAAATACATGGTCCTTGATATCTCCTTCTCAAAGTACCCTATTCATCGGTACCAAACAGATCGTCAAGTGCAAACGTAATCCAACAGTGATTCGATCCGTAAGTTTTAATCAGCTTATTGCGAGCTGTGGATCACCCGAGGCAGTTCCTCGGCCTCGCTTCATCGGAAGACCCGCTTCACCGAGCTCCTTCGAACATCGCAAAGTTTAGAAAGTTTGTGAATCCTGACCGCCTTGATGCCTACATCGAGGTTTGAAATCAGATATAGAAAGAGAGATAACGATGCTGCAGGCAGAAGAGAATTTCGCAAGGTTGATTGCCAGTGCCGACGCCATGGCTTATGGCTCATCCTTTGGAGATTTTTCCGCTAACAACGAATTCAAGAAGGTCGTCAAGGCTCTTCTACATTGGCTTTCTGATCGTGTCATGGTAGGGTGAAAGACCCGATAAAAAAACTGAGCAGTTTCTCATGAATGCCAAGAACGACATCGAACAGGTTAATCTTTTTGGATCGATAGACATTTTCTGAAACATTGAAACAGGCCCGTTCAGCTCTTGCTGTAATCGTTGAGTCACTGGAGATCTGATATTTATACTTTTGTGAAAGAATAGAAGCTGTACATCACTGACATAGGACTGGGTTTTGCGTTTCATTCTTTTTCTTCCAAAACTTCCGCTAGAATCCTTTCTTGATAGAATCTTATCGACAACCCGCCGGCAAACAGAACATTCACATGCACACTGCCGTCTTTTTCTTGCTTGACAGAGTCTGAAAGCAGAATTGCTTTAATAGAATGATACGGAGTTTGGACATACCTGGCTGATCAAGAGCAGGAACCATGAGCAGCCCAGGAGGAAGGTTGAAAGAATGAATTTTACCATTGCGGTAGACTGTGATACAGGCCTGTAAAGAAACACTAAGCAGACGTGGTGAAGAAAGACAAAGACCGTCTTGTTCTTCATAAGAAGTCGGAGATCGCAGATGTCCAAGACCATAGTTGAATTCACTTCGAGCACAACATCTCCAAACTGAGACCAAGTAACTATTCAGCACATAGAGTAGACTAGTTACCTCAGGGACTCTGTTTTTGCTGGTTTGATCTGCCACAACTGCTTCCAAGACTATCTTCTTTTTTCCAAACACTGCTTCTTTGGGATCATATTGTTGTAACTTGATGCTATTGGCCTTGACAGGAACAAACTTGGCCTTGTTGTCCATCTTTTGAGGCGTAAGACTTAAAGTGGTTTGACTAAAATTCTTCAAGAGATCATTCAATCCTGTCATATTCAACTTGCTCGTGTCTAAAGCAAACCCTTGCATGACTTGGTTGAGAGGCGGTGGATTGAACGGGATATCCTTAGAAGCCTTGTATTCTTGGATGAGAGACTGGCAAGAAACCAGAAGGAGATTGATTTCTTGAGCCTGATTCTCAAAAATCGAGTAGAATGTATCAAACGAATGGAGAAGAATTCTTTGGACCTCCTTCTCACTCCTCAGCTGATGATTTGTCTCCCTGTACTTGTCCTCTGCTAATGCTCGCTTCTCCTTTTCATAGCTCAATCGGTCTTTTGCTTTGAGATATTCAGCTCTTGTTTTGTCGCGCTGTGTTGTTTGCGAGATAAGTTCATCTCGCAAAGTAAGCAATTGACTATTCAAATCTGCAACTGCCTTCTCAATCCTTTGAGTTTCTTGATCCTTTTTTGTGCATGTAATTTCAAGCTGTTGGATCAAGCTTGTGTATTCGTCTTCTTTTTCTTCCCCGATTGAGATCACATCGCGCAAGCAGCTCATGGACTGGAGAACATATTCACGAGCTTGTTCTTGATGCGATTGGACCAAGCGATCAAGCGTAGAAATCTTGGATTGGTTTGACTCTTCCAAATTGTTCCAGCACTCAATTGCCTGTAAGGATTCTGTCAATTCTTGCTTAGTGCTCTACAAAAGTTTATTTAATACATGATCGACCACTTCAGAAAGATGTTGATTCTTGAGGCGAGTAGAAAGATCCTTTATCTCAGAGAATGCATCAAAAACCTTTTTTTGTTCCTCATGTTTTGCAATCTCAAATCTCTGCACTACTACTTCTATTGTCTCGTCCTGTGCGAAACTTCATCTTCTTACTGCATGAAAGGCATGAAATCGACTGACCGTGGCCATCTTCCTCAATCTCAGCAAAACTTTGGATCCAGGCTCGTCGTTACCAAGGAGTAGCGGATGTATTGTCTCAGCTGTAACTTCTACTCCATCTACCTGTCTTCTTACGTCATCCTTGTCCTGTAACTTTCACAAAGAAATCACCATGAGAATGGTATCTCCTCTTTTCAGTTGATCACAGCTCATGGCAGGGCTGCCGATCTGAACAAGAAACCATAAATCGTCAAAAATCTGACAATCATGCTGCCGTAGTGCCCTTGTCACTAACATCTCAGAATTGTGACGTAACATTAGCTGGCAAGTACTTATCTGTTCGCACACCATCTTATTCTCTCATCTTACCATCTTGTGCTCGATCTGAGTTCCCTGGAGCATGAGCCCGATGGCGCTGCGACGCACCATTCAATGCGGCGGATATCACTGATAGAATAATATTTGGTTGGGTGGTGAGGGAAAAAGGTAAGAAAAAGTAGGGCAGGGGGTGGGGTCACTTTAGAGGGGTGGGGTGGGGGAAGTTTGTGGTTGTGGATGTTGATTGGTTGTGTGAGGTAGAGCAAGGTCAGGTCAGGAGTAAGAGAAGAAGACATAGATATAGAGCACGGAGATAGAAGAGGAAAAGTAGAGTAAGGTCAGGAGTAAGAGGAGGAGAGGTAGATAGAGAGCACGGAGATAGAAGAGGAAGGTAGAGTAAGGTCAGGAGTAAGAAGAGGAGAGGTAGATATAGACGACGGAGATAGAGCAAGGTCAGGAGTACGAGGAGGAGAGCAAGAGAAGATAGACGGTGTGGAAAGATTCACAGAGAAGACAGACTAACGCAGTTTGCAGACAACTTGTATTGAAGAACTACATTTCACGTTGTCTTGGTGATGTACTGAGATTTGCAGAGCTGATTGAACAACGAATAAGATTTCTTTTGCCGTCATGAAATGTTGGTGCAAATGCCGAAGATCACCGTATTTTACTGTCTTGAAGCAAAAAATCATACAGGAAAAGAAGATTTTTCAGATATTCAAGAACAGACGATTCAAAACATCATCAAACATTCCGCACATCTTTCGACATGCTCGTCTATCTGGCGCAGACGTTGAAAGTTTGCTGAAAAGAGGCAAAAAGTTATCCGGTCAAAAAATTGCCCACGTCTTTCACGACGGTTGGCATACAGGGACAGTCATGCTCAGGAACAAAGGTAGAGTGAATCGAGGATACTGGGTTCGAGAACTCAATGTGTGTTGTTTTTTGGTGACTGTTTGCAACAGGTCAGATATCCTCGCTCTGAATTTGATAGTGGACAAAAATGGCTGCACGATCTGAATGTGAAGGATTATGGTGTTCTTTGGTTCTTTCTTGACCGATCGGCTCCCATTAGTCAAGGCAACGAGCAGGCTCGCCGGAGTGATATCTGTTTAAGACCATCGTCAAAGCAGGTTGTGCAACAAGAATTCTGCTGCATCTGCAAGAGAGGAGGTAATCTACTGCAATGCAAGCATTGCACGATTTCAGCGCACAGCACGTGTTTACAGTTCGCGAAAGCAAACATCATTTGTGGTAACTGGACATGCAATTTTTGTTTGTTTCCACCCCGTCAGTCGCAATGCAATTGTCGATTAAATGCAGGAGGAGGAGAAAGAGATCTTTCAGCAAACAGAAAAGCTCCTTCGGCATCGATGCCGTGTGAAGTCAATTTTGCGCTGGAGGAGAGTTCTTCAGAAGCCTCTGAGTACGAGAAGAGAAGGCAAGCAAATATCGCAAGGAACAAGAACTTATTAGTCAAGTTAGGAATTCAGCCATTGATTTCAGCATAGAACAACAAGCATACTCTCAATTGATTTTTTTCTTATACGTTGACAGCGCTACATACATAAAAAGTAAAGGAATATTTCCTCAATTTTTACACTGGTGTTTCCGAGCAATTTTCTTTAGGTGTACGAATGATGAATGATGTTACTTGCCTTTCTTCGTTGTCGTCAGATGGAAACACATGTCTGTTGAACCTATTCTCATGTCTTTTTGTCCTCCTCTCAAGTCTGTTTGTTCTCTTCTCCTCGAGCAACTTCACTCGCTCCTCTGCCTCCTTGCGCCTCCTGGTCTCCTCCCTGCTCCTCCGGTTCTCGCGCGATTTTTTCATTTGTCCAATTTTATGTATAAATACTGTGTGAATTTTCAAATATGTTCCACAAAAATTCAAATCAAAATAGTTACTTGAATTTAAAAAACGCGATTTAGCAGGTCCATGCCGGCTCCTCCATGCAGCTTCTAGTGCCTGCGACCTTGCGGCAATCACATACAGCAATGTTCCTTGTTGCTTCATCGTTCCCATGTCAAGATCTATCTTCCTGCTTCATACTCCACGCTCTTGTTTCTCATGGACGCTAATCTTTGTATAGGGATGCGGAAATTTTTGTGCAGAGGAGTGCTATGTTCGTGATTCTTCACTCATTTCCTCTGTCCCTCCTTTGCTACTTGTTGATCTCACAATCTCATTTCTGTAAGTTCACTCATGTTTGGTTTCGTTGTCATGTTTTCTTGCACTTGTCTATGCACAAACATCACATTAAACCTCGCACGAAATGCTTGCATTCCAGCTGAGCTCAACCTGTTCACCTGCTTTGTCAATGCATTGTAGGAATCAATGCCCTTGGCCCCATGGGTGACTTTCACAATCTATTGATGTGCTCTTTCCTGTTGAGATAATTTCTTTCTATGGTCCGTCCCTGAGATAGCTTCTGTATACTCTCTTTCCCCATCAAATTTTCTTGGTTTTTGGTTCGACATGATGAAAGGGTTTGATTTTTACACAACCCGTGGCTCGTTCCTTGAAATAACTTCAATTTCTGTTGTCAGGCTTTTTCTTAGTCTTCCATGTTGGGTAGAGGTATGCGCGGATTCGACGTTTGGAGCAAATTAGCCCGGCATAATCTTTCATGGAGCTTGTCGTGTACAGCTTTGGCATCGAGACAACTTTGTCTTGGGGGAAGTGGGAGGTCTGTTCATTCGATACCAACGGTTGAGTTAGCTTCTTTCATACCAAAACGGATTGGTGATATCAAAGACTACACAAGCAAGCCCATAACTTTCATCCTTCACGGCATGCTTGGAAGGTAATTTGTGACCTGGCTATCATTGCGCGTCACTTTTGCTTTCTTGCAGTTCATACAACTGGAGGAGTCTTCTAGTGAGAGAAGATTTTCTACCTGGTCGATACGTTTGTGCTCTCGATCTTCGAAACCACGGACGTTCACAACACGCATCTTCGATGCTCTACGACGAAATGTGACCCCCCATTGCAATTACATCATCCTACGATAGCGTTGAATGTACATGCAGGTGCGAGGATGTTCTTGGATTCGCGAATGGGCTGGGGGCTGAAAAACTTTCATTGATTGGTCATTCTATGGGAGGAAAAGTTGCCATGAACATGGCGCTCAAAGTCAGACTATCTTTGTCGTACTCTTCTGTTTTCTTGACTCAGTCATGACAGTATCCAGACAAACTGGCTAGTCTGGTTGTTGTTGACATTGCACCTGTGGAGTATTCCTCTTCCTCCATGCATCTTTCCATCCTGGATGCAATGGCCGTAGGATCCTTGCTGACCTATTCTTGCTGACCGAGATAAGTGACTTTTTGTAGAATCTAGATCTCAATTCAATCACCTCTGTCGCTCAAGCTCGTGATTTGCTATCGAAGGAGATTCCTGTGTGCTCTCGCTTTTCGTTGCTTCGCGGTTGATTTTGCGCTATTTTTAAACAGGATCAGGAAACTAGGGAGTTTATCTTGACAAATTTAACTCAAGTTCAAGAGACCAAAAAGGTTTGGAGAATGTTTCAGCTTGTTGTAATCTGAAATCAACATTTTCGGTGCAGTTCAAGTGGAAGGTGAACGTGCAATCTATTCGGTAGGTTTGAGGTGAGATCGCAACGCTGCTAACGAAATTTGCTCCTTTCAGCGAAGGAGTGAAGAATGGAGAGCTGAAGAAGTTCAACGTTGTAAGAACTCCATGCCTCCACTTGCTCTCCATTACCTTGTTGCAGGATTCAAACTTGACTTACGACGGTCCAACGCTTTTTGTGAGAGGAGGCAGATCAAAATACGTGCAAGTATAGCCTAAAGACATCTGTGTTTAAGATTTTGATACATGTGCAGGATGTTCACTTCGACACCATTCGTCGGTTCTTTCCTAACTCACGAGTTGAGACTGTTGAGAATGCTGGGCATTGGATTCATCATGAGTCTCCGGAGGAACTGAACCGAATCCTCAACGATTGGTTCCAAGAGATCGCTCCACAAGAAAAGACGACCTAGGAGATGGGATCAGTTCAGTTGAGATGGGGTGCGTGGATTTGCGATGCGAAGCGATGGGGTGGGATGGGATGACAAAATAATTCATTATTTGTATCTTTTACTAGAATGTAGTAGCTTCCTTGTAGTTTTGACTTCCACCGTGTCCGAGTCGTCATTCCTTTTTGGCATTTTCGAGGCGTTTGTTGCTCACCCAGCTCCATGCTAGTCCATCCCCTCATGCACCTGCCTCTTACCCCACCTTTCTGCTCATACATTGTATTCCGAATTTCAATTCTCATATGGTGGGCTACAGTCTTTCGCCGCTCCTCTCTTTTCACCATGCTGCATCTCACCACAGCCCGACCTGTTTACGTTCTCTACTCTTCTCTCCATGGACACCTCTTTCCGTCGTACCTTCCCCTCTCTTCCACCATTTTGTTGAGTCCCTTCACATTTTCGTAGAGACGGAGGTGTGCTGTGGTCAAGAGGTAGGGGTGGGGGTGGGGGGTTAGGGGGGAAACTTTTAGCCTTTAGACGTGGAAAAGCAGGGGTGCCTGTACCTCTGATCGAGGGTCCTCTGTGAACAGAAATCTTTTGCAAGGGGGTGACGGTGGTGAAATTTTAGTAGGGGTCGTGCAGCCCTATTCATTATGGATTTAGGGGGAGGGGTACAAGATGTATGGTGGTGTTGGTAGGGGACTGGGAGGGGTAGGGGAGGTCTTGAAACGCAATGAACGAAGCGAGGCAGGAAGAGTAGGATAACATGCGGATGAGAGGCGGAGGAGGAAGACAACGGAACGCACAAGCAGAAAACCTGCATGGCTTATGAGGAGGAAGGAAAACACATAAAGTAGAACTTAGAAGAGAGGAGAAGAAGAGAGCCGAACATTTAGGCGTGTGCGACAGCAGCAGGGTTTTGTCACAACCACAGTCACGACAAGGCGAGGAAGGCATAAATCTCACAAAGACGCACAGACTTTCGATTTTGGAACATCTTTTTCAGTACACCCAGTTTTGATCTCTGTGGAAGGATCGTCTGCTCTCTCCTCTTGTCAGTTTCAAACACCAATGCTGCTTTTGCACATCTCATTGCGTCACGTGACATTTCCTGTATCTTACCTTGACACATCTTCTCAGGCTGTTCAGATGTCCCAGTATGACTTCGATTACTTTGTGATTGGTGCGGGAAGGTGAGTCTGCTCGCACTTCTGTGCCCCGGCCTTACACACCGGCATGCAGCGGAGGAGTTCGCACTTCGCGCATCGCAGCCTCGCATGGCGCCAAGGTTGCGGTAGCGGAGGATTCAGCTCTTGGAGGCACCTGCGTTAATGTGGGATGCGTTCCCAAGAAGTTGATGACGTACGGAGCTCACTTCTCACACGACTGCGAAGGTATGTCGGTCATCTGTGCATGGAGGAGCAACTGAAAGAGCCGTCAGATGCTCACGCGTACGGATGGGACGTACAGAAACCGACAGTGCAGTGGTCGAGATTCATCGAGAACAAGAACAAAGAGATCTTGCGGCTCAACGGTCAGCCTCTGACTCTTCTCCACCTCCTCAACCCCTGACTACTCTCCTCGTCCTCAACCCTCATACACTTGCAGGAATCTATGAGAGGCTGTTGACAAACGCTGGTGTGACCATCCTCCGTGGAAGGGTAAAGAAATTAATCCTCTACCTCATCCCCTATTCCCCCACGCCTTTCTTCCTTCTTCCCTAACCCCCTTCCCCCCCCCCAAAACCTTTTTCTTCCCTTCCCCCTGCCTCGCAACACACAACACGTCATTTACATCCCACATCCCTTCTTCTATTGTCCTTCTTCTCGGGCTTGCCATCATCATCTCATTTTCCAGGCCTCTTTTGTGGATGCGCACACCGTCAAAGTCACGTCAGCAGAAGGTCTGCGCTCTCCTTGAGATGCTGCGATCTCATCCTTGAAGCAGGAGAGAAGCTTTACACCGCCAAGATTATCACGGTAGCGGTAAGATCAGACTCTTGTCCTGCCCTTCCTTCTCATCGCCCTCTAGGTCGGAGGCTGGCCCTTCGTCCCAGAGATCCCCGGACGCGAGCTCGCCATCACCTCTAACGAGGCCTTCTACCTTCCTGAGGTGATCCCAACATCCTCGCTCTGCCGTCCTCTGCTCTCCTTTTTCTTCCTCGATCATCCTGATATTGTGCTACGCTCTTCGTTCCTTGAACCTAACTTGCTTTTGTCTCTGTGCAGCTTCCTAAGCGTGTCTGCATTGTCGGGGGAGGATACATCGCTGTTGAGTTCGCAGGAATATTTCATGGTGTGTAGACAATAGCAGGAGGACTGGGGCTTATCTGCCGCAGGTTATGGAAGTGACGTCACGCTGCTGTACAGGAGCGAGCTCTGGCTGCGAGGTAGGGAGTGGACGGCGAGAGGATGAGGCTTTGAAGGTGCTCTCAGGTTTCGACGATGATCTCAGGACGCACCTCAAGTCGGAGTACGACAAGCAGGTTGGCTGCGATGTGACGGCATGTCAGCCGGCGATGAGACTCGCGGCAGGGTATCAAAGTTTTGTTCAACATGAACATCGACAAGGTCCTTTTCCTTACTGGTTGCAAACACGGCGACGACTGACGTCGGGAACAGCTGGAGAAGACTGGGACCGGCATCATGGCCACCTTCACGGATGGCTCGGTGAATGTTTGACCTGCTCCATCTGTTAGAAGCTGAGAAACGTGGCAGACGCACGAGTACGACATCGTTATGTTCGCAACAGGCAGGAAGCCGAAGACTGTTGGGTTGGGATGCGAAAAGGTAAACTGATAAACAATTGTCTGCGGGCTCAACACCCTCAGGCTGGCATCAACCTTGACGAGAGCGGTGCGATCATCGTCGACGAAGCGCTGAAGTAGAAGGAGCATCTGCTTGCTTTCCGCTTACTCGCCATTCAGGACTTCTGTCGACAACATCTATGCTATTGGAGATGTTATCGACAGGTTCTCTCCTCCTCTTCTCTTCCTCTCCTCCCCCCTCCGCATCCTCTCATTTCTTGTGCAGAATTCAGCTGACCCCCGTCGCCCTCGCGGAGGGTCACTGCCTTGCGGACACGCTCTTCGGAGGTACTCTTGCGCTGCTCCACTTGCTGCTAAGCTGAGCGGCAGGCAAGCCGAGGAAGACTGACTACTCGGACATCCCAACCGCCGTCTTCTCCAACCCTCCGCTCGGTTGCTGCCTCCTGCTGCTCTCCTGGCCTTCCTTGACTGTTAGTAGGAACGGTGGGCCCAACGGAGGAAGAGTGCAGGAAGCGATACGGAGACGTGCACATCTACAGGTGCGATGATGAAGATGACAATGACGAGGGTGATGGGGATGATGATGACGCTAGGGAGGAGGAGGAGGAGGAGGAGGAGGAGGAGGAGGAGGAGGAGGAAGATAACGAAGGTCGCAGGACAAGCTTCCGGGGCATGAAGCATACTCTCACGCAGAGAGACGAAAAGACTCTCATGAAGCTCATCGTCCATCCTGAGACCGACAAGGTGACCTCCTCGTCCTCGTCCTCGTCCTCGTCCTCGTCCTCGTCCTCGTCCTCGTCCCCTCCTTCCTCCTCCTTCTCGTCGTCGTCTCTTGCGCTCACTTACTCTTAAAGGTCCTCGCCGTCCACATGTGCGGAGATGCTGCTGGGGAAGTCATCCAGCTGGTAGGAGTAGCGCTCAAGGTGAGAAACAGAAGGGCAGCAAGACCGCGCGAGACGCTGGGAGAGGAAGAGGGAGAAGGGGAGCAGGCGAGATGGGAAGATGGAAGGAAGCGAGGGGATGAGGGCGGTCAGGGCTCTTGTTTGATGGCAAGCAGGCGGGGGTGACCAAGGCCCACTTTGACTCCACCATCGGTGTCCATCCAACCGCTGCAGGTGAGAGTCAGCTGGGCACAGGGGCGGATCCTGATTGATGGCGTGGCAGAGGAGTTTGTCACGATGCGCTCGCGGGTTTGAGCTCTAGAAGGAAAGGAGTATCGCTTTCATTGTAACTTCTTGAATGAACCTCTTCCTCGCCTTCCTCTCGGCCCTCCGCTCCTCTTCGCCTTGGATATCAACGAGCTGTTCCTCAGCTTCTGCAGCTCCAGCTCCAGCTCGCTGTCCAGCTCCTCCTCCAGCTTCTTGTCGCCCTGCGGGAGGTTAGCAGGAGCAAGCATGTCTACCCGGCTCACCTTGAGCGCGATGCCGACCAGATCTTCTGTCGCGTTGATGACGAGCTCCTTCCTCGTCGCCGCGTCATCCTCGTCCACTGCAGACAAGTCAGCCAGCGCCATCTAGTTTCGAGACCCACCCAGCTCTCGCAGCTCGTCCTGAGATGTGGCAGAGCAGAGGGGGCCCAAGGTCAGCGGAAGAGGCACAAGAGGGAGGAGGACGCACGGGAAGGACGGGGACCTCGCACTCGTCTATCATCTTGGTGATCTTGTCGCCGTAGTGATCCTGAGAGGAGGGTGAGAGGAGGGCAGAGGCTCATAACCCCGTCACATCAACAGCCTTGGCGAAGATCTCCCACTCTGCTCTCGCAGCCCTGGAGAAGAACTCGGGTGAGCACGTGAACGTGCAGGGTGCGGGAGCGGAGGGTCTGGGAGAGGAGGATCGAGAAGGAGCAGACGGAAAGGAGGAGGGAGAGGGAAGGAGCGAGAAGAGGGAAGGAGAAGAGAGAGGGAGGAGAGGGAGGGAGAAGAGCGAGAAGAGAGAGATGGCCAAGGCAAGGGAGGGAGACGAGAGGAAGGAAGGGGATGAGGAACAAGTCCGTGTGGGGGGAGCTACTTGCCCGTCGTGTCTGCTCGCGTTCGCTGCCGAGAAGTTCCCGCTGAGGATGTCAAGCCGTGACCGATGATCGCTCAGGATCTTGGTCTCCCCGGACTTCTGCTCGTTCTCCAGGTCAAACTGCAGCGCGTCCAGACGGACACAGGCAAAGTTGGTGAGCGCCTTAGGCAGTCGGAGAGCAGCTGGGGACGTCTGCTCGCCTGCCCTTGGGGAGGAGGTGACTTCAGTCCACTCCTCCTGCTGGGGATCGTAGCGCTCGATGGAGGAGTCGACTCCATCCCTGGTCTGACCGCCGAGGGCGAGGATGCAACCATGATCCGGCAGCGCCATGAGCTTGTGGTTGGCGCGAGCTCGCGACATCCTCCTCGCAGAGCTCCAGCGGGGGGGGAAGGTGGAGGGGTCGAAGGCCTCGACTGTGTCCTCCATGTCGGGCGTGTAGGAGTAGCCGCCTGAAATGAAGATGCAGTGCTCGAAGACTGCTGCAGCAAACGCTTCCAGGCAAGTCAACCAGACAGGCATGAAGGGCAAGTGGAAGGAGGGAGGGGAGGAGGGAGAGTGGGGAAGAGTAAAAGTAAGGGAGTGAGGAAGGAAGAGAGTGTCAAGCAGGAGCAGAAACCTTCTCGCGGCCGCAGCATCTGAGCTTCCAACCTCCATGTGTTGCTCTCCGGGTCGTAACTCTCAACCTAAGGTGACATCAGCACGGCAGCAGCGGGAAGGAGCGACTCGCACGCTAGCCGTCGGCATCCCGTCCTCCAAGGTGCCTCCCATGGCGTAGATCCTCCCGTTGAGCACAGCGACTGCATGATTCTGCCGCGCGTACATCATGCTTGCCGCTCCTCGCACCCACACGCGATCCTTAGGGTCAAAGACTTCCACAGATCTCAGAATCTCTCCCTCTGAGTCCAACCCTCCCACGATCCACAGCAGACCGTTCAAGCTGCACACGCCGAACTTGGTGCGCGTCTCCTCCATGTCCGGGCAGTCCGTCCATGACTTATCAGGTATCAGCAGCCCCAGAGGAGGGCGGGAGGAGGAGGCTTCATCCTTGGTGTAGAGGAAGGAGTGCTTGAATCTGAGGGACTCGACAGTAAAGAGCACGTCAAAGTCGAAGCCGCCGCACACGAGGAGCGAGTCTCCCAGCATGACGCACTCGGAGCTCGACCGACAAGCCTTCATGGACGGAAGCTTGGCCCACGTCCTCGACACGAGGTCCAGAGCGAACACACCAGATGACGGGCAGTTGTCCTCTGACCCCCTCCCTCCCAGTATGACGATAGAGCCCTCGTGAACCTCCGTCTGTCTCTGCTTGCCGCTCGCAGCCCTGGGCCTCCTTGTCCTCTTCTCTCCCTCCATGTTCTTGGCCGGAGGAAGCGGCGCGACATGGCTTCCATGCAAAGATTCCCACAGACACTCGCACAAGATGGCGATGAGCAAGACCCTCCCAATGGGCACGGACATGCTCTCATGCTGCTTGTCCCAGGAGACGCGATGCGCCATGCTCCATGTTGAGAGCGGAGTGAGTGCAGGAGAGGAGAGGACAAGGCAGGGATGCGAGGATGCGAGGAGGGGAAGAGGGGGAGTGAGAGTAGTGGCAACGTTGAGAGGAGAAGAGTAGACTGGAGGCCCAGGGGTCGAAGAATGGAAGGCGGGCGAGAAGCGAGGAGACGAGGGTCGCGAGGGGAGAAGCGAAGGGGGAGCACACGGGAGAGGGTGAAATTGAAATTATTTCAAGGGGCGGATCCAGGCCCTCCTTTCCTCCCCCCCATCCCCCTACATCCCCGCATCCTTGTCTTCCCCTCTCCGCTTGCCCTCTCCTCTCCTCCTCTCTCTCCGATCTCAACCTGGCGCATGGGCGGACTCGTCTTCAGGGCCAGGCAGCATGAACGAACGTCCAAGGAGATGGTCTTGCTCATTGCCATTCAGGCGGCTACTCCTACACGCCCGACATGGAGGACACAGTCGAGGCCTTCGACCCCTCCACCTTCCCCCCCCGCTGGAGCTCTGCGAGGAGGATGTCGCGAGCTCGCGCCAACCACAAGCTCATGGCGCTGCCGGATCATGGTTGCATCCTCGCCCTCGGCGGTCGGACCAGGGATGGAGTCGACTCCTCCATCGAGCGCTACGATCCCCAGCAGGAGGAGTGGACTGAAGTCACCTCCTCCCCAAGGGCAGGCGAGCAGACGTCCCCAGCCGCTCTCCGACTGCCTAAGGCGCTCACCAACTTTGCCTGTGTCCGTCTGGACGCGCTGCAGTTTGACCTGGAGAACGAGCAGAAGTCCGGGGAGACCAAGATCCTGAGCGATCATCGGTCACGGCTTGACATCCTCAGCGGGAACTTCTCGGCAGCGAACGCGAGCAGACACGACGGGCAAGTAGCTCCCCCCACACGGACTTGTTCCTCATCCCCTTCCTTCCTCTCGTCTCCCTCCCTTGCCTTGGCCATCTCTCTCTTCTCCCTCTTCTCCCTCCCTCTCCTCCCTCTCTCTTCTCCTTCCCTCTTCTCGCTCCTTCCCTCTCCCTCCTCCTTTCCGTCTACTCCTTCTCGATCCTCCTCTCCCAGACCCTCCGCTCCCGCACCCTGCACGTTCACGTGCTCACCCGAGTTCTTCTCCAGGGCTGCGAGAGCAGAGTGGGAGATCTTCGCCAAGGCTGTTGATGTGCCTCTCGAGATCGCCAAGGATCAGATATCAAGAAGGTTTGGAGGACGAGGAGACAGACGATGGAGCTTCATCAGCTCCTTCATCTCCAGCCTCCGCTCCCCCTCCTCCGCAGCAGGCACTGAAGGAAACATCCTCATGACTTCATCCAGTACAATTCCAACCTCATTACACTTTTTCTCCTGCTGCTTCACCATCCTTTCATCTTTTGGCTTCCTCGCTTCTTGAGCATGAGAGCTCCAAGGGTTGCTTCTCCTCATCTCTGAACCAACACTTAAGTCGCTCTCCTTCTTTTCTTTCCTTCGGTCCATAGTCGTAACGATCTGGAGCATCGAGCTCAAGCGTGAAATGTTTCGCTAAAGCTTCACTAATCACTCTTCCTTCGATCCTTTGATGTTCAGAGACACCTCCTTCGAAAGGGCCAAATGGGTCATCCTCCTCCCAACCAGGGTTCTTCTCAGAAGCGGGAGGAGGTACTAGAAAGATGACGAAGTCAAACACACCTTGCTCCTGCAGGACCTAGAGCTCATCTCTGCTGAACTCAAGGAAGATTCGCAGCAACTTAGGGGCAACTCAACGTCATCATGGCTAGCGATTCTTAGAAAGCGTAGACAGCACAAGAGGATCTTCTCGAGCATTCTCTTCCCTGCCCTTCCTCGAGAGGATGTGCAACGAACAGTCAATGGTGCTAAAAAACTACATCGTCTTCTGCTAAACTCACAACTTGGCGTGCTGGCTTACTTGACAGGGAAGCACAGGGAAGCCTTGAGCTGACGGAAGATCCTGGACCGGATGTGTTTACAAGTTGCATCACCTGAGACATCTCAACGCTGCCGTTTCAGCTGCCACAGAAAGCGCAACGCGTCATCCTGCAGGAGTATCAGTGACTTAGTCCCGTAGTTGCTTCGAAGTTCTTTGCCGGCGGGCCCCGGAGCGGTGACATGGCAGTGGGCCATGACTGATTTTTGACTTAACTTCTAGTACGTATCTACAGTACGGTAACTTCGGTAGTATACGATACGTACCTGCTCTACCTCTTCTCGTGCACTGGTTAACTTTTGATGACCCTACCGTCTCTCCCCCTTCACACAACCCCTCCCGAACTCCAACAGCCATGAGATTGCGACTCTACCGCCCTACAATACCTACCGGTACCTACCGTAGTAAGTATATGGCACCTTTATGGCCTTATCGGGCCCTCCCACTTGAAGAATCTTTTCCCCAGGCAATGGCGGTAACGCGGAGAGCCTTGCGATGGCAGCAGCACGCGGCGGCTCTGCTGCTCCTGCTGATCTCTCACGCTCTCCTCCTCGTATCTCATTCCTCGTTCACATTTCAGGCCTTCCAGAGCTATTTCCACTCGAGCTCCACAGCTCCCAAGGCTCCGGAAAGCTTCTTGTTCGACGATTTTACCAAGGAGAATGTCCATGGGCAGACAGCATATCACCGACTGTGCACTCTGTTGGGAGAGATGATATCTTTCTCCTCCTTTTACACTCTTTTTCTTGCTCTGCACGAGGCATTTCATCTGCTTGCTGCTGCTCTCGTCGGCCTTGCCCACCGCTCTCTGCGAATTAGCAACTTTGTGGACGCCTTGCTGCATCAGCGCGTGACAATCAAGGGGGCTGAGGGATGGCGGTCAACTCTCATACGTCATGCAGGATGGATAGGAAGCATGGCGGTGACTTTGGTCGTCTGCGCGAGGGGCTTCAGCGGATCTTGCAAGATAGCAGCTTTCTTTACCTTGATTGACTCGTTGTGCTCCGACCTGCTTGGCATACATCACGGGTCAGCAAGCGATGAAGTTTTTCACTGTGGGAACTTTGGAATCATCATATTCGACAAGGAGAAGAGAGGACAAGTGTACTCTTTCCTCAAGACCATGGTTCGAATCACCATGATGCGAGGCGCGCAGTCTGGAGGGATTGTCACCTATGTGCCGAAGAAGGATGGGCTCAAGGGAATCAGAAGTCGAGTAGTCAACGGCAAGCGAACAGATCTATCTGAGCTCGTCACTTCCAAGGTTCCCCTCCTGTCCACTGCTTGCTGTTGTCCCTCACCGCCTGCGATAGTTGTGGCACGACCAGCTCTGGGCAAGCCTCCGCTACGGGCTCCGCGACGACGTTCGAGTGTATGCGGGGCACACGAGGTTTGCGACGTCATCGAAAGCTTCTCTTGATGGAACGGTAAGGACGTGGATGTGTTGCTCCTGCTGCTGATCCTCCGATGCAGCACCCACATCAATGGACGCCAGCCGCGGACTACACCTTCTGGGAGGACAAGACGTCATGGATGAAGACGACGAAGAATGTTGAGGTAACAACTGATCGACATCTCATGTGATGTGATGATACCGACGTCTCATGTGATGTGGTGAATGCGATCGCTTTGACGTCTTGAGATTTTCTCAGGTCTACATCTGTCACAATGGAGACTTCGATGCTCTCGAGCTGGGAGGCTCGACGTACCCTCTGGAGGACATCATGGAGTGGTTGGCCCGAGTCAAGTAGGTATGGCTGGTGGCAGGATAGCGCATGACGATGGCCTCTAGCTATCACCCGTGCCCGTCGACCGTTGACAGCGCGGGAGTCGCGGGAGTCATGGACGTGATGAGGACGCAGGTGGAGTGATGCGGCACCCTGCTGGGGCCGAGGAGCTGCTGACTCGCGAGTCAGGGGCTCTGGTTTCATTCCCTTCGGTTCGGCTTTCTGTTCGGCCCTGAACGCACATCTCTCAAGTATGAAGTCCCTCCCAAGGTCAGGCGTGTAGGCTGTTTGAATCAAATAATCGTTGGCGTGTAGGAAGCTTTCGTCTCTCTGGCGAGAATCGCCGATGATGTCTTTCAGAAGACTGTCCAAACTGCAAAGATGGATCGAAGGATCTTGAGGTGAGCGATGAGATCTGGTAGTGATTGCCTGTTCATTGCCATGATGTTGGTTGTCTTGCAGGCAGGAGGTCAAGTCAAACCTCGTCGAGGCGTTCGGGTCAAAGAAGGTCGTCAGGCTGCGATGTTGTCAGTATTGATATCGTAGACAGATTCTGGGACTGAATGCAGAGAGCGGAGATGTGAATCGCCTTGTCAACACAGCTGTAGATGCGTTCTTCGACCAAGATCTGTTCCAGGTGTGTTACGGATGTTGGTGGCGTGATCTCTGCATGGGAGGTGATGATTGTGGTCAGGCCACCAGGTTCTTCCTGTCACGGGCCAAGGGATCCTTCGGACTGTGCGTCTCCTGCTCGCTTGATTCCCATGTGAGACACAATAGCCGTGATGACTTTCTGTTGCTGTCTTGTCTACCGTCAGCGTTGCCATGCTCTACTTAGCTCTACCTCGCTCTCTGCTCAGCTCTACCTCGCTCTCTGCTCAGCTCTACCTCGCTTTTGCTTCTTGTCCTCTGTCGCTATTCTGACCCGCACAACCAGCGACAAATCGTGTTGGCGGCAAGGGGTCAAACGATTTCTCTAGCCTTCTATCCCAACTCGGGAGTGGTGGTGAGAGAAGTCAAGCACAACATGTGGGCGTGGGTTGACATCAGCACAGCTTTGGGGGTCTGAGCAAGCGGCGGTGAAGGCAGCGCTTGTGGGTGAGTGAACAGAGCAACCTCTGTGTCTACCTTTTGCTTTGGCTCTTGGTGAAAATGCACGTTGTGATCTACCTCTACCTCTATCTCTACCTCTACCTCTACCTCTACCTCTACCTCTACCTCTACCTCTACCTTCACCTCTATCTCTACCTCTACCTCTATCTCTACCTCTACCTCTACCTCTATCTCTACCTCTACCTCTACCTCTACCTCTACCTCTACCTCTACCTCTACCTCTACCTTCACCTCTACCTCTACCTCTTCAGTTCCTTCGTCGCATTGAAATTTTGTTATCCTCATTCGTGATCAGGAGACTCGAAGCACTTCGTTGCCGTCCATGAGTGCAGCCGTTGCGGATACGAAGGTAACCTCAACTCTTGCTCCTGCTCCTCTCTGACGCTGCCGGCCCAGGAGCCGGACACGAAGATGATGGAGCCGTTCGTCTTGACTTGGACGACCTGGGAGGCGAGGTACGGGAGACCTGCTGCTGCTTTGCTTGATGATCGCTTCCTTCATTCCGCCTGCCTCTGCCTTATTGCTTTACCCTTGTCTCTCTTACTTGCTTCAACCTCCTCTTCTCTACCCTACTACTCTACTGTAGACTATCTCTTCTTGCCTCCTCCTGCTCGTCTGTCCGTTGACGACAGAGCAGGTCTGCCTGGTGGACTGGGGGACAGGAAAAGCGACGCGATCTGCCATGACGGAGGAGTTGCCGGTGCATCAGCTCATGGACAACAAGCTGACCATCACGCTGTCTCAGGAGACTCTTGGCAAGCTGGGAATCTTCAAGAAGCGACTTGTGCGCCTCCACGACAACCCGCTGATCAAGCCGCTTCCGCCCGTGTACCCAGACCCAGTAGGGAAGGACATCGCAGACATCCCATACGTGCTCAACAAGATCCAGCAAGACTGGGACGAGGGCAACAGCGTCAACTGCGTCACGTCCTGGTGGTTCTCGCGGGAGCTGATCAAGAGGCTCAAGCGGTACGAGGCCGGCACTCACGATGGCTCCATCGACGTTCTGCTCACGGGCTGCGAAGTGTCTCTGTGGGTCGCGGAGCAGTTCGCGTCCGACCTCGCGCAGGTGTTTCCGCGCATCTCAGTGCGGGTCATCTCCTCCAACAAGCTGCTGGGCCTGTTTGGTCAGGAGTTTGCGGTCCCTCAGACGGGCCATCAGTTCAACGAGGAGAGCTGGAAGCTCACCAACACCATCGTCCTCATCGTCAGCCACAGCGGCGGCACCTTCGGCTCCCTCGCTGTCGCCAACCTCCTCCGCGCCTACACCGAAGTCATCTTTGTCGTCGCGTCCGAGAGCGACACGCAGATAGGCAAGCAGCTGCGGCAGCTCAACCCGGCCGGTATGTGGGACTTCAAGTGCTCCACCTTCTCCACCGAGGTCGGGATCCGCCCAGCTGAGCCCTGCACCGTCAGCGTCGTTGCCTCCCACCAGCTGCTGACCCAGCTGCTCATCTACCTCATGAAGAAGGTGCAGCTTGACGGCATGGAGGAAGCGAGCGGAGGGAAGTACACGGTAGAGGACGTGAAGGTGCTTGAGGAGCTGCATGCCGAGAACTTCACGGCGATGGAGGACATCGTCGGGTACGACAGGAACGGCATCGCATGCCCGACGTACACGTCCGAGGAGCTCAAGAAGAGAGGAAGGTACTGGTCGCTCCATGTGCTTGAAGTACCCATGTCGTGGATGCTGTCCTTCTGCTACATCCTTGGGACGCTGGTGAGCAGCTATCCCCTGCTTATTGGAATAGCGGGAGCATGCGGTCTGGATCGGTCAAGGCAGTGGTGGGCCACTTACATCATCAACGTCTTCGACTCTCTCATCTACATCTTCCTCCCGCAGTGGACCATCCTCCTCCTCCGCCTGCTGCAGGGTCGTCCCCTCAAGCATCGCATGACCTCTCGCTCGCTCGTCATCGCCGACATCCCCTGGGTGGCTCAGAGCGTCGAGGCATACGTGAGCAAGCTCTTCGCCTGCGCCTATAGCGCCACCAGCCTCAACGTCTACAGCGCCAACCCCTCGGACCACCTCGTGCACAGGATGACCCACCGGGTGGTCAGAGGATGCCTACTGGCTTGCGGCAGACCCGACGGGCGGCTGATCGCCTTGACGTCAGCCGAGGCCTCCGCCTGCCTGTCCGTCAACCAGGCCTCCTCCATCCAGAGCATCGGGTCGACATGCGAGAGCCTGACCATCGGGCACAACCCCTACAAGCTCTCGCTGTCTGCCCATGCTGTCTTCCTCAAGAGCTTCCGCAAGCAGGCGAGCCGCTGCCGCTGCCCCTCTCTCTCTCTCTCTCTCTTTCTGTCCTCCGGCGTGCATGTCCTCTGCTCTTTGTCGTGCTTCTCCAGCTTTGCTGGCTTGCTGTTGCTCTTTGTAGTCCTTGAGCAGCAGCAGTATCTCATCTCACAGTTGCATCTGCAGTTCATCTGCGAACACGCGCTGCAGCGAGAGTTCGGCAAGGATTTTCTCAACAAGTCTAGCAGGTGAGTCGCGAGGCTTCTGGGCTTGATGTGACACACGAGTAGCGGGGTCATCCTCGGAGCATACTCCAACATCAAGAAGAGGAACATGAGGAGGGTAAGTCCAGCAGCTGTCCAGCAGCCGGCAAGCTGAGAAACGATTTTTTCTTCTTTTGTTTTACAGAGGAAGAAGTCAGTGATAGATGACACGGAAACAACGAAGATGGACGGCACTGTCACATCCCACGTCTCCCTCAATCAAGGTGTTGCCTGCTGCCTCCTGTACACTCTCGTCCTGCTGCTTCTGCTGCTCCTCTTGGATGCTACGTCTTGCGGCTCCTCCCCTCCCCTCGTTTGTTGTCTCCGTCTCCCCTTCCATCCCTCCATCCATCCTCCTCTCCGTCGTCTTGTGGCGGGGCTGACGGACAAGCAACAGGAGGCAACGACTGCAGCATCTCCATTCGATCCCCCGAGGAGACAGGGCATGGCCTGATGGACGTGAGCGAGCACACTCATGAGCTGGTGGAGCTCATGAACGAGGGGAAGTTGCACCGGAAGAAGTCGAAGAAAGAGATGAAGTCGCTGCTGGGAGAGCTGCACAACAAGAGCATGCGCGTGCTGATGGAGGAGAACTACTACGGGGAGCTGCTGGAGAAGGAGATGGAGGGGACGCCTCTCATGGAGCTCGTCAACTCGCAGACCGTGGCGATGCGGCTGTACGAGTCGAGGATCGCGTCCATGCAGCGCTGCGTCGCGTTCTACGTGATGTTCCATACTCTCGGCAAGCGAGTGCAAGACTTCTGGCCGTCGGTGTCGCTGGGGTACCTGCGCTACGACATGAGCAGGACTCACTCCATCATGCGCATCGCCACCACCGCCTCCCCGGTGAGCGGCGCGGAGGTCAGAGACATCACCATAGAGCTCGAGCAGAAGCGACGCATCGCGCACTCCCGCACCCTCCTGTCGAGGTACTTGGAGAAGAGGAAGCTGCGGCTGCAGAGGGAGAAGGAGAGAGCGAGGATGGAGGAGGAGACGAGGAAGAAGTTGCTCTCCCACTTCGACCCGGAGCAGATCTCCATGCTGGGAAAGCTCATGGGCACGCAGCTCAACACGGCAGACCCGAGCATGGTAGTGCTGCAAGCCATCGTTGATGGTAAGAAGCCGGGAGATCTTAAGGATGCAGCGCCGGAGGAGGTGGCGAGCTCGCTTCAGGAACCAGCATCCCCTGACATCCAGCCTGTGGAGGTAGAGGAGGAAGACGAGCGACGGGCTGCCGCAGAGCTGCCCCTGGCGGAGTCAAGCGAAGTATGAGGGAGACGAGAGAGGAGCGAGATTAACAGGAAAGACGTTAGAGAGAATGTGACAGCGAGCACGATCTTGTCATGTCTCACAGTATGATGTCTGTAGCTTCCTTGTAGTCTATTCGTATTACGGCTTCATTGTCTTGATTGCTTGCGGTTGATCCAGCAGAGTCTGACCATCGCTGTCTTAACATGCGTCACTCGCTGCTGTCTCCTACACGCTGATTCCACGACAGGACAAGATCTCCCTTGCCGGGCACAGAGGACATGAGACGAGATTGATTGAAGACGGCATGCAAGCGCTACAGTGACATGCGAGCTGATAACTCTCTCATCCAAGAAGCAGCAGCTTGCAGATCGAGTCCAAGATCTGCAGCACGACACCCTTGAGATCCTCGTACCTCCCACAGCAATCCTTCACCTTGTCGCTCAGCCGGATCATCCCGTCGCACACCACCACCTCCTCCTCCAGCTCGTGCACTCCCGCCTTGTCGAGCACGCACCCCCTCTCCTCTCCGCTGCCTGCAACAGACTAAGACTTCTCTCCTCACCACGCCTCCTCGTCTCACCTCTGCTGCTGCTGCTGCTCCGCTGTCTCCTCGCCTCCTCGCTCAGCCTGTCGATCATGCCCTCCCTTCGTAGCAGATGCATCAGCGCCACCCGCTCCTGCGCTCCTCTCCCTCCCATCTCCTCCTCCTTCTCGCTCCTCGACGTGCATCTCCAGACATAAGTGACGGCATCCCATGTCGGAAACCTCCCGCGTCCTGTTGATGGAGAAGGTCAGGTCACCGTCGCCTACTGTGAGGATGGAGGACTTGGGGAGGAGAGCAGCTAGGTCGCTGGCAGCGGCGAGCTTGCTGCAGGAGGCGAGCTTGATGCTGCTCGCATGCGGATGCATTCTTCGGGCCGACGGTTCGGCCTGAACCGGCTGCTCGTGCTTGATGAAAGGCTGCACGACGAGCTTGTACGCGCAAGGAATGCAGCCTGACAAGGTGCAGGCCATGACCTCGGGGTAGCAGCAGCCCAAACATGTAGGATCTGATCTCCTCCTCGTTGAGGAGAGAGCAGGGGAGCGGATGGAGTCAAAGAGATGAGAGGAGGAGAGGAGACTGGAAGCGGATGATCCGAGGAGTCGAGTGGGTGAAGGCGGGAGACAAGTCGGAGGAGGAGGGTGAAGGGAGAGGATGAAACATGCCCCGCTATGAAACTCGTGGTGGCTGGATTTCAAGGTGGGAACCTGACGCCTCCTCTTGCTCTATGACTCGCAACCATGTCGCATGACGACGCGTTCACCTTGCTGCCTTCGATCCTGGCTAGGATGCAGCAGCACCCAGCGGAGGACGTCGCGGGATCCCCCGTGAAGCAGCGGGGGGAGGGAGGAGGGAGGGGAGGTGGATTGATTGAAAAAAGAGCCTCGGAAAGAGGGGAAGGGGCGGATCCTGTTGGGGAAGCAAGGGATCGGGGTGGAGGGGGGCAATGGACAGATCTGCAAGGGGAAGGCAGAGGTGAAGGAGAAAGGGAGAGGGACCATGAAGGGGAAGAGGAAGGGAGAGCACGAGGGCGAGCAATGGAAAGGGAAGAAGCAGAAGCATGCGCGCGTGGAGGAGGAGGAGGAGGAGGAGATCAGATCCTACAGGTTCACATGCAGGTAACGCAATCGTGTGTCAGCATGCGAGGCTGATCATCATACCCAGACGCTGCGAGGACGACAGGCTCTTCTGCTACCCCGAGGTCATGGCCTGCACCTTGTCAGGCTGCATTCCTTGCGCGTACAAGCTCGTCGTGCAGCCTTTCATCAAGCACGAGCAGGGCAGCCGGTTCAGGCCGAACCGTCGGCCCGAAGAATGCATCCGCATGCGAGCAGCAGCAAGCTCGCCTCCTGCTGCCAGCGACCTAGCTGCTCTCCTCCCCAAGTCCTCCATCCTCACAGTAGGCGACGGTGACCTGACCTTCTCCATGAGCATGGCGCGTCGCCTTCGAGCCAGCGAGCATGCTGGCTGCTTCGTGGCTACGACACACTTGTCGCGGAGAAGCTTGGAGGAAGCGTACGGCAAGGAAGAGATTGGTGCGACCTGCTTGAGCGCGTGACGAGATGCTGACGTGAGGACAGGAAAGACGATCCGAGAGCTTGAGGCCAGCGGGGCTGTCGTGCTGCATGAGGTGGATGCTACCGACCTCTCCTCCTCCATCTCCCGCAGCTGCCGCAAGAGCCGGCAACAAGACAGCAACATGATCAGTGACTTGCGTTTCGATCTTGTTGTGTGGAACTTTCCCTGTGTGGATGGGGGAAAGGAAGGGAAAGACGCACAGCTGGAGGAGATCGAACAGAACAAGGATCTGATGAGCAAGTAGAAGCTGCCGTCTGTGCCTGACAGCCTCTCACTTGCTCCTTGCGCTTTAGATTCTTCATGTCCGTCATCAAGATCACCCGGCAAGGGGGTCAGGTGAAGTCGAGGAGGCTCCTGCTCGGGTGCTGATGCATCCAGCAGGTCCACGTATCCCACAAGACCAAGCCTCCCTTCTGCCACTGGAACCTCCCGGAACTCGCCGAGTCAGCAGGGCACAAGACGGAGCAGGAGGAGCTTCGACTTGGATTCGTGCGGCGGGTTGTGTTCGACCGGTGCGGCTGCCCATGTTGCTGTCCTCCTCTCCTGCTGAGTCGCCTCCACAGGTCCATGTTCCCCTCGTACCATAACAGGAAAGTCGCGACAGGACGCGGGAGGTTTCCGACATGGGATGCCGTCACTTATGTCTGGAGATGCACGTCGAGGAGCGAGAAGGAGGAGGAGATGGGAGGGAGAGGAGCGCAGGAGCGGGTGGCGCTGATGCATCTGCTGCGAAGGGAGGGCATGATCGACAGGCTGAGCGAGGAGGCGAGGAGACAGCGGAGCAGCAGCAGCAGCAGAGGTGAGACGAGGAGGCGTGGTGAGGAGAGAAGCCTTAGTCTGTTGCAGGCAGCGGAGAGGAGAGGGGGTGCGTGCTCGACAAGGCGGGAGTGCACGAGCTGGAGGAGGAGGTGGTGGTGTGCGACGGGATGATCCGGCTGAGCGACAAGGTGAAGGATTGCTGTGGGAGGTACGAGGATCTCAAGGGTGTCGTGCTGCAGATCTTGGACTCGATCTGCAAGCTGCTGCTTCTTGGATGAGAGAGTTATCAGCTCGCATGTCACTGTAGCGCTTGCATGCCGTCTTCAATCAATCTCGTCTCATGTCCTCTGTGCCCGGCAAGGGAGATCTTGTCCTGTCGTGGAATCAGCGTGTAGGAGACAGCAGCGAGTGACGCATGTTAAGACAGCGATGGTCAGACTCTGCTGGATCAACCGCAAGCAATCAAGACAATGAAGCCGTAATACGAATAGACTACAAGGAAGCTACAGACATCATACTGTGAGACATGACAAGATCGTGCTCGCTGTCACATTCTCTCTAACGTCTTTCCTGTTAATCTCGCTCCTCTCTCGTCTCCCTCATACTTCGCTTGACTCCGCCAGGGGCAGCTCTGCGGCAGCCCGTCGCTCGTCTTCCTCCTCTACCTCCACAGGCTGGATGTCAGGGGATGCTGGTTCCTGAAGCGAGCTCGCCACCTCCTCCGGCGCTGCATCCTTAAGATCTCCCGGCTTCTTACCATCAACGATGGCTTGCAGCACTACCATGCTCGGGTCTGCCGTGTTGAGCTGCGTGCCCATGAGCTTTCCCAGCATGGAGATCTGCTCCGGGTCGAAGCGGGAGAGCAACTTCTTCCTCGTCTCCTCCTCCATCCTCGCCCTCTCCTTCTCCCTCTGCAGCCGCAGCTTCCTCTTCTCCAAGTACCTCGACAGGAGGGTGCGGGAGTGCGCGATGCGTCGCTTCTGCTCGAGCTCGATAGTGATGTCTCTGACCTCCGCGCCGCTCACCGGGGAGGCGGTGGTGGCGATGCGCATGATGGAGTGAGTCCTGCTCATGTCGTAGCGCAGGTACCCCAGCGACACCGACGGCCAGAAGTCTTGCACTCGCTTGCCGAGAGCATGGAACATCACGTAGAACGCGACGCAGCGCTGCATGGACGCGATCCTCGACTCGTACAGCCGCATCGCCACGGTCTGCGAGTTGACGAGCTCCATGAGAGGCGTCCCCTCCATCTCCTTCTCCAGCAGCTCCCCGTAGTAGTTCTCCTCCATCTGCACGCGCATGCTCTTGTTGTGCAGCTCTCCCAGCAGCGACTTCATCTCTTTCTTCGACTTCTTCCGGTGCAACTTCCCCTCGTTCATGAGCTCCACCAGCTCATGAGTGTGCTCGCTCACGTCCATCAGGCCATGCCCTGTCTCCTCGGGGGATCGAATGGAGATGCTGCAGTCGTTGCCTCCTGTTGCTTGAACGTCAGCCCCGCCACAAGACGACGGAGAGGAGGATGGATGGAGGGATGGAAGGGGAGACGGAGACAACAAACGAGGGGAGGGGAGGAGCCGCAAGACGTAGCATCCAAGAGGAGCAGCAGAAGCAGCAGGACGAGAGTGTACAGGAGGCAGCAGGCAACACCTTGATTGAAGGAGACGTAGGATGTGACAGTGCCGTCCATCTTCGTTGTTTCCGTGTCATCTATCACTGACTTCTTCCTCTGTAAAACAAAAGAAGAAAAAATCGTTTCTCAGCTTGCCGGCTGCTGGACAGCTGCTGGACTTACCCTCCTCATGTTCCTCTTCTTGATGTTGGAGTATGCTCCGAGGATGACCCCGCTACTCGTGTGTCACATCAAGCCCAGAAGCCTCGCGACTCACCTGCTAGACTTGTTGAGAAAATCCTTGCCGAACTCTCGCTGCAGCGCGTGTTCGCAGATGAACTGCAGATGCAACTGTGAGATGAGATACTGCTGCTGCTCAAGGACTACAAAGAGCAACAGCAAGCCAGCAAAGCTGGAGAAGCACGACAAAGAGCAGAGGACATGCACGCCGGAGGACAGAAAGAGAGAGAGAGAGAGGGGGGCAGCGGCAGCGGCTCGCCTGCTTGCGGAAGCTCTTGAGGAAGACAGCATGGGCAGACAGCGAGAGCTTGTAGGGGTTGTGCCCGATAGTCAGGCTCTCGCATGTCGACCCGATGCTCTGGATGGAGGAGGCCTGGTTGACGGACAGGCAGGCGGAGGCCTCGGCTGACGTCAAGGCGATCAGCCGCCCGTCGGGTCTGCCGCAAGCCAGTAGGCATCCTCTGACCACCCGGTGGGTCATCCTGTGCACGAGGTGGTCCGAGGGGTTGGCGCTGTAGACGTTGAGGCTGGTGGCGCTATAGGCGCAGGCGAAGAGCTTGCTCACGTATGCCTCGACGCTCTGAGCCACCCAGGGGATGTCGGCGATGACGAGCGAGCGAGAGGTCATGCGATGCTTGAGGGGACGACCCTGCAGCAGGCGG